CTGTATGGGTACGTTGTCTATCCATTCACAACAGGATTATTCGGACAAACAAGAAGAGATGGCTCACGCATTTCGAATCAAAAACACTATCTGCCTAAATATAAATGGTGCGAGTTTACCGAACAAAACGGACAAGTTGCATGAATCAAGCACCACTAATAATACTCATCTACTAGGAATATCTGGAACGTATGCTTCTTCTCAAATTAAGGATCAGTAACCGATGAAACCATCAATGTTTTAGTTCCGTGTACAAAAAAGTCGGAAGGAGGACTGTAACGGAAAGAGAACGATGAAAATCCCTTCGCAGCTTTTCTGTTGGACAGTAATGTCATTTATCTATTCCTTCTCCTTGTCGTGTATCTTAACCTTTGTTCAGATCCCGTTAAACCACACCCTTTGTTCCTCAGTCTTCCTCGTCTGAGCCTTTATTATGTGATTTTGATTAAAGACTTATCTTTTGTCACCTAATTTTCTATTGCATGTTGCCGGACTGTTGACAGTAAGGTCACGTTTGACTAAGCTCAAGGTCACGGCGTGATTCATTGTGTGGCTGTTAACCTTCTGACCGTCTGTTTGGGAGGATTGCTGGAATCCCTGAATATAGATATTTGACCCCATCTTGTTGAAAATCTTTTACTGATTCTCAGGTATCGTACCCTTTAGTATTAACTGTTTCCGTTATCGCTTAGCATGCTACTTTGCGTTAGAGAAACTTCCTACAGTATAGCACAGGCTGTACCGTTCGAGGTATTTTGTATTTCTGATCTTATTTGTTCTGCTTCGAAAATTAGGACCGTTTAGATTGAGCACGGAGTTTGTGTTTTGATATAATTTAATACGAGTAACTCAAAACACTTTGTAAGCTATACAGAAGAACGTAGTCTGGCCTAGTCGAATAAATTTTGGTTCGTCGGTCCTGCGTTCAAACCGAATACTGGCAGTTCGGTCGTTACAGAGATATTGCGGTCTTGTATATACGATACTGGTTGCTATCATATTAAGTGTACACACATGAGTTTGTCAAACTCGATTAATCTGTATGGTGCTCAGTGAGATTATTTAACTTCTCGAGATGTCTCGTTGAAGTCATTTACTGAAAGACCTTTTCGACACCGAATGCAACAGTCGTATGCTGGTGGGATTATACAGCTACATTTATCTCGAATACTCTCGTATGCTGTTCTGGTAGACTTCCTAATGTCAATTTCGCTGAACTTACGGACATTAGAGGTGATAACTCCACTGAAGCTCAGTTCTTAAACCTCATCGTGTGTTTGAGTTTATTCGAAAATGTGAAATAAACAACTCATGGGAGGAGCAGTTAGACACCGTCATGCGTAGACTACATATTTGCACACGAAAATTTTTTAATTGACAACCTCTCAATACTGACTCTTATTGGAAAAGGTGGTCATGCCACCATAGCCTTCAATTTTACCAGCAAAGCTGAACGGAAACATCCTACCAAAAACAGACTTTGAAATTTCAAACGTTTGGGTGTGTCAGCTTTACAGTACACCCGTAACGTGACGTAGACGTTTAATGGGATTTCATACGGCACACGATATTAAATTCTACTCAAAACCACAGACAACATACAGTCATGAAGTGTCACAGTCTTAAAATGATAGGACACGAAAACCACGAATAAACGAACATAAACAAACTAGTGGCGGCAGCACATATGGAGAGTTCTAACATGCAATGAACCGGTGAATAGATGTCATAAGAGAAGATAGGGTTCAGTATAAAATGATGCTCTTAGACTACATTTCTCCTATCCGAAAATTTCGCCACGTTATGCAGCTTCTCTTCGACAAGACAAAAACCGGAGTCCCCCAGCTGTTTGGTCTAATTGTCCAAACAACAACGACAGTATGTCGCCGAGCCTCGGAAAGAATGTCATTTCCAAACATTTCAACTGTCCCATTCAAACTGCATCGATAAGAGCTTCACTCGCAAATTAACAGGAGTCTCAGAAGTGAGTCAATATGCTTAGTGTATCACTGCAATAAATAAACACGGACACCCAGCTCGGGTGTGGTTCACTATGATATGCTGCGAGTAGAGACATAAACCTTAGAAACACATCTTATTGTTCCCACATTCGCTAAGCTGAGGCACAGTCCATCATAATTAGGAGCTTACACCAATTACACCAATCTTTAAAGTAGCTTGACGCAGGAATCTTTAGGCACTTCTTTCAAAACACTCGAATGTGGTCCTTGTTATATGACGGTTTATTTGATTACGTATTATCCATAACCTTCTTTTCACCCCAATAACACGGTCTAAGTAGTCAGCCTTGAACAACCAATCTACTAAGTGTGGTGAATAGATGAACAAACAGCCCTGGTCACATGAAAAATGTTGAAGTTATACATCTTGAATTCTCAAGGACTTTAAATAAGGCCAGTCATATATGTCTCATCAATAACCTCAAACTGTTAGGTATCAAGTCACCTCTTGATCTTTAGTTCATACGAAAGACCTTCCCAAGCGAATCTCATCTAATTTACAATTCTTCACTAATGATGTAAAACTTCAGAGAGACGTTTGCAGCCAAGATGACAAACTAGCACTTCAGGAGAATTCAACTCGATTTCAAAGGTAGGCATATAACAACGAACTTACTCTTACCCTTCCAAGGTATAAACTAGTCCATTCGAGACAATTTGCAGACTACGCATACAACTTGGGTGACTGCCATTTAGAGGCATTTCTGGTCAGTTTGAGGATACAAAATTCAATTTGATTTCTAACAGTTCTATTCGATCCTAATTAGGGTATGAGAATATACTGTTTACTCTCTCATTCCAAAGGGATAACAATACACTGGAATGTACCGAACGGTGAGCAACGAAATCATTTCGGGGACTCAAAGTCAAACCTTATAAAGAGGGCCCCAAGTCGTTGAAATTTTGCCCATTAGAGTGTATGCTTCTGAATGAAGACCTTCTAATGACCTATAACATCCCGAACACTCCTGAGCACCCACATAAACACCTACCTGAGGGTAACACCCAGAAATTATAGACACAGCATGAATTGCCAACTTTTGGAATGCTCGTCCGCCTGAGACGCTTTAAGCGACTATCCAGGTGTTCCACAAGGGGAAACTTGACATTTTCCTGAGGATTCAGGACAAAGTCTTACGATGATTTGCTAATATTTTCTTTATAATCACTAAATATACATATGTTCCTAACTTGAGGCATCGCTGGTCCACTGCTGCTAGATATGGAAGCCCGTTAAGCAAACGATTCTCTTACTTCATCATGAAAAAAGTGAACCACTTCAGAAAATAGAAAAACTTAAAAAAACAATGGTAAATAAATTCATTATCGAAGTACTTTTCGCTTCAAATGCTATATTCGAGCGGATAGAAAAACTTAACTAGAGACTCAAAAAATGAGAGCATTACTAAGAAGCCAAAAGTGAGCAACGAGAAGTCAGCCGGCTTATTCTAGATAGTCACGAAGATATTGCATATTATTGAGGCTCTGATTAATGGAGGGCAGTACAAGTTCCACATTTTCGGCGGAAATTTGAATGGTTTCGTGAACAAGTCTGTTGTTTGTAACATGCTCGTTTAGCTAACTTTCTTTAAGATTCGACCACATGAAAATGATCTTTATCGGGTTTAAAAACCTCAGTTAAACAATTCACTTATATGGGTGTGATTGAAAACCTAGAGATTTCTTGGAAACCATTTTTATCGGTCATAGCATGTTTCACAACTCTTTTCGGTCATTTCAAAGTGTACTTATCTTTAAAAAGATGTGACTAGGAAAACAGAAGCTAGATTTGTTGGCTCAGTTTGGGGTTGCGTTCTTTTTTACTTTTGTACATTTATTCATGAGTATTGGATGCATCGAATATATACATATATATATATATATATATATATATATATATATATATATATATATGATTAAGAGCGAAAGAAAATCATATCTAGGGTAACCAAAAGTATAAGGACCAACCGTGAGCATTTGTGGGCAACGAAAGCAAAAGAGATGAAAAAGGCAGCGGCTGTAGGTAAAACAAGACAGCTCTTCAGACTAATAAAAGAAACTGGAACTAAGAAGTCAAGTGTTATTGAGACGACACTCTTATCTGTTCTTAGTCCAAACGTTTAGAACGATGGGCGGAACAGTTTGTCTGGCCTACAACTGCCCTCAATTCCCCAACAGCCTGAATGGAGTATTGAGGTTGGTCCTCCGACTCGAGTTGAGTTTCAAGAGCTATAGCTAATCTGAAACCAGGAATAGCAGCTGGTCCAGATGGATTAGCTTCAAAGGTCTTAAGTACAGTAGTCGAATTTTAACGATTAGGTTAGTGTCGGCCAAACCGAAACGTGGATTCAGTGCTTGAAGTCTCTAACTTCTAGTCTGGACCATGTTGGTAGATGCAAACTATTTGGTTGTGGTCCGCGTGACTATCGTAACCAATGGTTGGAGACTCTGTGTGACATGGCTCAGAATCGATCACAATGGCTTAGGTGTATGCACTCTCTATCTTCCCTTAATCTGTGAGATTTACATTGCTTTATTTCTACCAACTAATTCTTTCTTTTTGTACTATATCCTTATATGTTATCTTTTTCTTATATATGACCACCATTGAAGTAACTACCTCTATGAATTTAATGTCCATCTTGTTGTGCTAATGAGGTATGGCAACTTGGACCGATGCATATATGAGCTTATTCACGCTATGTTCCTTTGATTCTCATTACACCATGTCTTCAGCCTCATAATACGTGAAATAAGTCATATGTTCTCGTCTATATAATGTACATAGGTTACTTGATGCGTCAGCTGGCTTTTATTAACGGTAACAAGTATTGTTTAATTCCCAGATCCATTTTCCAATTATCAATCTATTTAAACTTCATTGATCTGGACATTTCGCTAACTGCCGGTAACCAAAGAAAAATACACTACCCCATCGTGGTATATGACCAAGAATTCCACATTTCAGTCGGCTTCCCTATGTACGAAATTCTTAATTGTATATTTTATTCCTTCTTGTTCATATCCGGTCTATATTTCGCCGGTGGAAAGTTTCCAAGGTAGGTACGCTTGAATAAATTCACTGGTCAATTTTAGAGACCATCCGGAAACAATCAAGAGAAGAGTTGTCTCCGTGTTCGTGACAGGAACTATTTCCATGATTCATATACTGACGTACATACGTTCCTATGATCGTCCTCCGGTTAGTGCGATCTTATTAATAACTTCTTCTAGTTTCAGTTATCTTCATATGAATTTGGGAAACTGTTTATTAGGCTGGATGGCTTATTAGAAGCAGTTATTATATCTGTCATACTTACTTTGGTTTGTTGTTATTGTCTCTGATATTCATACAAAATCAGGTCATGTACTTTGGCGTTGTATTGGATGATATATGTAGTGGAGATATGTTAGTCATATTTGGTAATGACCACTATCATTGCTTTTGTGTTTTAGGTTTTCTATATTTTTTTCTATATTCTAACTCGGTGAACACAATATTTCGTACAACGAAATTAATATATAAACCAAACTCAGATTGATGTAAAAATGCGGTTTAAAATTAAACCGATCCAATAACGGCGAAATATATGTATATATATATTGAACTCATTGGTTGGAATATATGTGTTTGGATGTAAATGTTTTTTTCATCACGATTTCGCCCAAACATTTTGCGTTGTTTCATACAAAATTACCAGTTTTGTTTTCATATTATCCTTGCCCAAAGATTAGGCCAAACAGCCAGATGTTAATTGGTTGAAAAGTGAGTGGCGTACAAGCCAATTTCCTCCGATCACCTATGACATTTTATGTTTATTTTGTGTCCTCAAATGCCCTATTACGGCCGAGAGTGGGGAGAGTCCGCTCTCCCTCTCGAAGTGCTCTCAAATGGCCACGCGTATATAGCCTCTGCTATTGTGTTGCCTACGAAATTGAGGGGACAATAAGCAAATATCCGGCTCTTTAACCGAATTAGTGGACACGGAGAGTCCACCTAGGAGAGTTGTAAAACTCTGATTCCAAATCAATGGTACACCTGGGCTCCAGTATCCTGAAAAAACAAATGTCGTATGAACCAATCGTTGGCCACGGGCTACCATGGGACTGCATCTCCTTATATTGTTCCAGTGCCTTGTAGATCAGACCTTTAGGTCGAAGGATCGAGGTGTGGCCTCTTAAGAAAACGACCTGCTTCGGTTTGGGCACCCGGTCAGTATCACAGCCCTCACATATATCAAATGAGATTTGTGTGGCGCATATGTATCTGGTGCCTGCCTGTACGAATATCTGTGTGTTAAAATAAATAAATAAAATCATATTTTGTATAGACATGCTACTTTATTACATGAAAAATCGTTCATCTGGCTAGTTATAATGTCTCTGATTTCCAATCATTCGGGGGCCTAAGTCAATTATACGGTCTCATGAGTCGCCATCACTCGGTCAAATTATATCATTACGTTTATCTATCGATTCTAACCGAAATTTCGTCTCACGTCATAACAATAATATGAGAGTACATCCACATATTTTTAAATAATGTAAATTTGTTCAAATCTCCATATACAAAATTGCATACACAATTTTGACAACACTAAGAGCTCTAAATAAGTTTGTCCTCGTATATGTCTCAATTCGATGAAAACCTTCAAAACTGTCTCAATGTATTATCTGTAATGATACCGCTTTTCAGTTTATACATGTCCCAGTTTTAAACTGTCTGATCAATAAGTTAGAATTAGTAAAACATAGACAGTGGGATTAATAACTAAGAAATGTGGATTTCAAGTCCACTAAAGCATTAGCCTTCCCTTAATACTAACAATCATCCCTAAAACAACAAACTTCATGATCAAAAACTTGTGTAACCTTGAAATTGTAAAAAAAGACTGAATCTACGATTTCGATATTTTCCTGTTGATTTATCTGTTTACTTCGTGTATATATCGAATAAAACGGATCGATTTACTTTGGATTTATTACTTATAGATGTTCAATACTGGAAAGATCGTATATTTAACTGGATAAGTTTAAGAAATTTTGTAATAGCTCCTTTGGCTGAAGAACTCATCTTCCGTGCATGTGTTACATTTCATCTACTTCCTTTGTTCTCATCATGTGTTATGCTTTGTTTCGTTAGTTCATTATTTTTCTCTTTAGGTAAGTATTGTTTTGAAACTCGTACATAACTAGGACTTTTTCTGATTTTATTTATTACTTGATAATATTCATTAGTTATTGGTTTACTTTGATGCGGATTTTATAACTGTTTCTTCTTTATACTCCTGACCACCTCTCTACCTATTGAGTTAGAATTTTCACTGGAGTAATTTTTTGAAGGTTATTTCAACCAAAGTTTATTCAATTCGCCTGCTAAAAGCGTGATGACTTAGTGACTGAAGCGATTAACTTTCATCCATTTATTCACAGGCTGGAATCCTGCTATATCTATTTTAGATTAGTAAGCTACTTAGTTTCATTCGTTTTATCACATAGAGTGGGATGTACTTCAATGATAACCGCATAAAAATGTACCAGTTTAAATTCAAAGTCTGCTTGCTTTCAACAAAATCGTTATAAATGGCATCTTATTCCCCCAAAAACGCAAACAAAGCAACACCGAATCACTTTATAGAGAACCAGATCGATCACATTTTCATCAATAAAGAGTTCGTAAGGTCAATGAGATACGTGAGACCACAGAGAGGAACTAATATAGATTCACATAACCGCCTTATGGTGGCCAAGATGAAACTGAAGCTAAAGAAGCACTGGGAAACAGAGAAACGGGATTACTAAGTTTAGTATAGCCTTCCTTCAAGATACTGACAAACTCAACGAATTCAAGATAACTCTTGAGAACAGGTCCCAAGCCTTACAATACCTTTTCAGAGAAGCGGAAATTACTCTGAATGAAAACTTGAAAGGTATTAAAAAAGCAGTAACTTTGACATACCAGAAGGTCCTGGGCCACAAGAAGCACTATCGTAGAGAAGGGATCTCCACAGATACCTGAACAAGATTCAATAAAGGAAAAACAAGATGACAATCACTAACAGACAAACAAGACTACAGAAAGCACAAGGCAAATACACAGAAGCAAACAGGCGAGTGAAGAGGATCATTAGAGTTGGTGAGCGGAAATATGTGGAAGACCCAGCAATGACAATGTAAAAAGCTGCGAGAAAAAGAAATAAGAGACAACTGTAAGACAGCAAAAGAGCTCGCTGGAAAATATTGTAAATCCGAGCGACCAGTCAAGAACAAAAAAATCAAACCAATCACCGGAATTCAAAAACAGAGGAACAGGTAGTTAGAACACTTAAAACCTATTTGTCGAAGGCATATTGATTTGCAAAACTCTCTCCATTTTCGTTCCTTTCGCCTAGTCCGTATCTCCATATGGAATCATTGTTCTCGGTGTTGTTCATTCCGACCCTCCCGTTTAGGTCTCATATTAGGTTGATCTTTCTGCTGGTCAGTCTTTTTCTTATCAGGGTTGTTTTCTATGGGATCTGGTTGCTGACCCCATGCCAAACCCTCCTGCTTTATCCTCCCAATGCTCTGGTACGGCCGAGCGGGGGAAAAGTCAGCTATCCCTCTCGAAATCGAATAATTTATGTGGCGCATATTTGTTGCCTCCTTGTACCAATGTTTATGTGTTTAAATAAATAATCCGGGCTTGGGACTAGCAGTAATCCTAGAAGTGCTCATGATGGTTTACCGTACTTAAACTCTACAAAGTTTTAGAAAATTTATTTTGTACCAAATCTCTTAGTAAAATTGCGCAATTCATGAAAGTGAAAAATAACTTAAAATATTATAAATCTTATAGGTTTAATTAAAATAATTACTTTGCTACCATTTTTTACAATGGTTATCCCAAGCTGAATCATTCGTCCAGCTGCCTTAGTCATTTGTTCATTATTAGTTCCAGCTGAATGTGTACACAACTACATGTAGTTCCACTGATAAATAGTTAAATGCATGCATACAATATTAAATAGAAATTCCTCTTTCATTAAATCAAGTACTTTGTAGGTTTATACCAATTATTTTTTTGTTGTTATTGTCGTTACATGTAGCCCATTTTCATCATGTTTTTGAATCAGTGAAAAGTGGTCAAGATCTGCAATCTGCATTTAAAACTTCACGTGAGTCCATTTATATTTCACTAACATTTTTTCATGAACTTGTATAATATATTGAATAAAGTAGCTATATTAAATCAACAAATCTAATAGTTATGCACGTCGTTTATGCTGTGTTTAACTACTCATGTTAAACAATAACTAAAGACATATGAAGGAATTTGTTAAAGACAGTAAAAAGATTATCATCTCACGAATAAAAGTGCCTAAATCAAGAAATATCGTTTTTTTCGTTTCGCTCGCATATAGCAGAGCTAACGTGTGATTAATGCTAACGTCAAGGATAAGTAAAAATTATTTCATTTGATCAGTCTGTGAACCGTTATCGACTGAGGTAGCCGAAACATGTGGTACACATGTCTCGTAGATGAAATGCTTGTTTAAATTAGTTCATTTAAGTGCCTGTTTGTTGAAAATGATGACTATATGTATTCTTTTATTTGTCTTAAACAATAATGCAAATGTGTCTGGGCTACGTTCTTCTCCCTCTGAATGTAAAACGTTACTTAAGAACTCACTGTTCTACGTTTCTGACAAGATTGTTTGCATTTATTCATTCATTTCTTTAAACATATAAACATTGGTACAAGGAGACAACAAATATGTATGCGTCACACTTCATTATTCGATTTGTATGATGGATGCGGGGCCGCTCGGACGCCCAAACCGAGGAAGGCTCAGAGAAAAAACCACCAAGAAATGGAACTAGTTTTCATTCTATTTCATGCATACTAGACCATTTGACTTCAAATGTCATTCAATTTTTATTGACATTGTTAACACACTTCTGAACACTTGAATAGCTTGCTTTTTGTATTCATTTTAAAACTTTACAATCTATATATAACTCTCTATAATCTTTTAGTTACTGTTTTGCAAGTTTGGTTATCTTTAAAATTTAACATCCTTTACTAATTCCCGAATATGTACACAATCAGACAGGAAAGTTTCTTCTAAACTATTCGCTCTGACATTCCCATTCTTAGTAGATGATTTCGAAGTATACTGAGAATTCCTCCGTAAATAGACGTTTCGCACTATTATTACCAGTTGGAGCTGCAATAATCATTTCAGATTTTTTTCCGACCCCTTGCGATGTGGGGAAGAGCTTTCAGGATCATCTAGGGTATTGTAGAATTGCATTATTGGTTTTTTATTTCGTTTCACAGACTGTCCGAATAACCCAACAATGCAAACATGCTTAATAATGTTATTTCTTTTAATCACAAATGTATTTTCATACACAAGAAAATTATCTTACCACGAAACGCATTTGATAACTCGATGTTTTAATCGAAACAAATGACAACTATTTCAAGTCTTATTGCATAAATAATAGTCTCATGCAATAAGTGTGGCTCACAAATCAAATTTACCTGTGTGTAGTCACAGACCTTCGTCTCTTTATATGTGTGTTAGATGCAAGATGGATAATTGTCATAATCACCAAACCTTTTCTTTTACTATGTTCTTATAGTGACCTGCATTTTATTACAAATAAATTGCAAAGCCTTTTTTTACCTAGTTTATTCAGATTGATAAATAGTATAGTAAATTAGGATCTACCTGCAAACACTCCCATTGTAAATCATAGCTTCTTCACAAATGCAAAACTTGAATCCTTGTTTATAATAGTTAGTAGGTACTAAGACTGACATTCTTTCAGGGCCCAATTATCAAAGAATTAACATAAAAATTGTCATAAATCTATATATGTATGTTAATTTTGTTCAGTGTATCAAAGTCATTATTCTGTATGAGTTCTTTTATTTTCCGTGCTTATTATGGCTCGCATAATTTATTAAGTCGTATGTTTTCTACTATAAGGTCACTATTAAATAAAGTAAATACACAATAGATTATATTAAATTAACACACTACTTTTTATGCATATATTATTTATCAAGTTAGTGTACACAACTTCTCTGTTTACATATTTCATTGCCTTGTAATTTGAATATTCTGCATAAATTCGTTTAAATGTAAACGCCTTCTTTCGAAGAAAATTCATTTGCATACATTTATTATTAGCCCCCAAATGCCCTGATATGGCGGAGAGTGGGGAGAGTCCGCTCTCCCTCTCGAAGTGCTCTCAAATGGCCACGCGTATATAGCCTCTGCTATTGTGTTGCCTACGAAATTGAGGGGACAATAAGCAAATATCCGGCTCTTTAACCGAATTAGTGGACACGGAGAGTCCACCTAGGAGAGTTGTAAAACTCTGATTCCAAATCAATGGTACACCTGGGCTCCAGTATCCTGAAAAAACAAATGTCGTATGAACCAATCGTTGGCCACGGGCTACCATGGGACTGCATCTCCTTATATTGTTCCAGTGCCTTGTAGATCAGACCTTTAGGTCGAAGGATCGAGGTGTGGCCTCTTAAGAAAACGACCTGCTTCGGTTTGGGCACCCGGTCAGTATCACAGCCCTCACACAAATCGAATAATTCATTTGGCGTTTATTTGTTGCCTTCTTGTACCAATGTTTATGTGTTGAAATAAATAAATAAACAAATAACTTTAAAATATAAAAATACACTATGAGTTTATGTGGCAAACTTATTTAATAATCCAATCGCTTGAAAATTATATGTTAGATGGCTTTAAAAATATTAAGACAATTCGACTATTATGTTTCTCTTAATATAACTGACAAAGGATGATTATATCCGTAATCAACTATAAATGGGATTATCCAACAGAAATAAACTAATTTAAGCAAAATAAAATATTAAAAGTAATGACGCCAACGTGAGTACATTACTGAATAAAGGACGTATCAAAATGGAGGACGATGGGAATAGGGTTACGATTTATTGAACTCTCTGAGGAGTATAAAAAACAGACACATTTACATAAACATGGCATATCACCGTTAGTTTTCAACCAACTACAACGCCTACCTCTCCAAAGTGACTCAAATCGACAGTTTTTAATTTGATAGACTAATACCACAAATAGATCTACTGTTGTCTTCTCCTAACCTACTTCTGCTACTGGCCAGCAAAATATTTCACTGTAGGTTTCGATTAGACATTCTGACACATGTGCCAAGTAATGACTGTGCATTACCTCGTTAACCGGTTTTCCAATATCCCTATATTCTAGGTACGATAACATTTGTCACTTCGTGACTCACGCTCGACTTGTGCTTAAAAAACTTTTGTAATTAAACACTTCTGAAAAATGTTTGTGTTTTTTATAAAGTACGTTTCATACTCATCTATGAATATTAAGCGGATATCTCGGTTAATTCAGTGTTTGGATAAGTTGGCAATACAAAATGAAGCTTCTTAAAATTATTCATCTAAACTAGTAAGACTATTATGATAAGCAAGATGATCACTGTAACCATTTCCATATTTTCCTCATACTGAGCTGCAAAGATTTAGGTCAAGATACCAAATACCTTAATACTTGGCTGCTGTTCTTAGTCTACACTTTACTTACTTTCTCTTTGCCAGTTATATAGTATTAGTAGGCCTCATATCAAATGTGTTTCAAGTGTATTGCGTGACATTAGCACAGTAGATCATGTCTAATATTGTTTATTTTTGTTCACTAATAAACCATAAACAGCATTGTGATGATATTTGTCACCTTGTTATTTGTGACTTTATTTTAAGTTAGCTGGTGGCTTTTAGTTAATTGGAATTTACTTCTCACAAGTAATTTGTAATTTTGGTTATTAGAATTATAACCATGAAATCTAAACACATTCTAATTATTATATTTATCTTCTGAGTTTCCATAAAGTTTCTGTCGTTTCTTATTACTGACTTCATTGTGATCATTTAAAACGTTATTTATTTTTAAAGTTTTCCAAGTGTTTTACACAACTCTATTTGGAACGTATTCTGGATTTTTGATGCTAAGAACTGGTAAGTTTATGTATTTTTAGTTGTACAGCATACACTTTTTATATTCGTGAAGTTATTTTTCAAATTGAAAACTGCAATATCAATAGTAGGCCTAGATATTACGTCACTGTAGGCAATCTGTAATTAACGAAAAATACAGTCGATGATAAAGCTGAAATGTATATTGGTAAAATATAATCCCTTAATAACTTTGCTTTTCTATGCAATAGGATGGTATTTCATTGTTTGTACGTTATTGCGTGATTTCACCATTCAGTAACGTTACTAACGTATGTATGCGGCTCTTCGAACAGCTTTTTAAAGCTGCGCTACATGTCAAAGTTATGGTAGTGTGTATTAACGAAGATAAGCGTGAAAATTGTGTTTAGTAGACGCTTGGTTAATCCGTTTCCTATGTTAAATTTCGAAATCACAATGAAATAACAAAATTATAAAAATTAACCAGTAAGCATCGTCAGTTTTTGAAGAATCCTCTCATACAGTTTATTAGTCTCACTGAAGTTATAGTGATCTAGCATTGTGAGTGACATTTGGAAGCTTATTCATAATCCAAATCATAATAAATATACACAAAACATCATTCCATTTGTTTCAATAGATTAATTTAATGTGAAATTTGAGCTAAAAACTATTAATATTTTCTTTTCATGATCATTTCTATGTCCATCAGAATTTTATGATATTTGAAATAAATCTAGATCTATTCAGTTTTACGAAATTTTTTAATGAAGCGTTATGGTACTTTAAGCAATTATCGTAAGTTTTACAATACATTTTTACACATTCTGTATCTGAACTGGTTAAAAAAATTATTCAGTCAAGTGCAAAACTTATATAAATCGGACAAGACTGAACTGGTATTAATCGTTGCTCAAGGTTGTCTGTCGGATAATGGTTATTAAATAAAGTTTGAATGGAATTTGTTGTGTTTACAAAAATCTGTCTTTGTACTACATGATTTTAAAGGTAGTGAGACAGTTGATAAGGTTGATTCCGGTCTGTGCGTTGCATTAGGAAGGATTTATCCAGTCTCTGAACTGGTCTCATTGAGACATCCGAAAGTTGTGAAATACTCACTTAACGTTACTTCCGATTTCTCTTACCAGTTTAAAGTGCGTGGCGAATTCCATACATTAGATGAACAGAAATGAGAGTTATCGATGTCATCTTCAGTCATGTTCTTCACAAATTAGGACTAAGAGGTCAACATTACTTTCAACTGTGTAATCACCCGTCATCTACTTGATAGCGAACACGACTTGGGAATTTCACGGTCGTTCTGAAATGTTAGTAACCTTATGACTTCGGACTTATTACGTTTTAATCAAGCCATCACTTTCAAACGACTCAACTCGGATTCATGCTTTCAAAAATTTACTGTTCTCAGTCTTACAATATCCTAGTGTATTCAGTTCCCAATACTTAGTTGCGTGACGTATCCCTTTATGTTTGCAATTATAAATTAATTTCCTTTACCGCTTCTTGTATCGTACACGAGCTTTACTCATTTTAATCCCATAATCAATTCATGTTTGTAGTTTTTATTATGTAACTTTGAAATTTTCAGTAGCTTGTCTCCAGGAGTTTTAAAATTTTCGCTTTGATTTCACACTTTATCCAACATAGAAATTTTCAACCACATGAATGTCTCTTATAATTTTTTCATACTTATTGCTACTTTTACTAATTACTGTTGATGGAAACTTTACTAAAATCATGATATAAAGTATATACAACGTTTTCTAAATACTTAATACTATATTTTCTAGGTTCTAAGCAATAGAAGAGAATTCACGAAATAAATCAATTCATGTTATTCCACTATGGTCTTTGTTCTGGCTTTATTCAAATTTAGAAATAGGAAATATTTTATGAAATAGCACTTTTACTACCAACTGTGCTGACATCGGCTCTAAATCCAGATTCATTCTGAATATGTCTTGAGCATTTCCAGTCTTAGTAACAATTGTATGTTTAGTCACCTCGCGATCTATTATTTGGTGTAATTATTGTTGACATAAATACGATGTACGACAATCCGTTTGGGTTTGAACTAGTGATTTAGGCACTCAACATTTGACTAATAGATTTCAAGACTCCAACCACAATTCATCTAGTTGTGTTTGATCAACTGATTAGTCCACATTAAATGCGGTTTGCAGTAAAAGGCATAGAATTATGTTTGTTATTTGAATTGTATTAAGATCAAATTTAATCGGAAACTTCAGTCAAATATTTTATCATGCTACAGAACAAGGGTTATGTTGAGTAATAAGATCACTATCATTATTAGGATTTGTGTATAAACAGTTGAATTCACAAGTCAATCTATGCCAGACCGCCATTGAAAACCTGGACGCGTGCGGGACTGTGGATGTGCACTACTGAGGAGTCACATACTAGGACGAAACGGTCATCGAGTACTTCCAAGTTTTAAATGGTGTTCTAGCTTAGATTGATTCGTGAATTTAACTGCTAAAATTAGATCGCTGTGTTATGGATCCAGAATAATATACTAATCATTATCATGTTAAGTCTAATGATGTCCTTGGACCTTAAATGGACATTCCCTATTGGCCATTATTTATTTCACTCGTTAAATATTGTACAGATGTTATTTTCTATTTTTATGGTATAATGTGGTCTGTTTGGTTAGTATATAAACAGAGTATGTTTGAAATATAACGATTCATAACTCAGAGGCTGTGACTTGCGTTCTAGACTCAAATGGCTGGTCTAGACAGGGGAGCGGGGACCAATCGGAACTCTAGGTCGTCCTTACGTGTTTTATGTGTCACTGGATCGATCGATAATACGCTGCGCATCTAATCTGCAGTCCACCCGTTACAACAGCTGTTTGTTTTCATGGTTACACACACCATATGATCTGACTTATGTTGAAAATTGATCTAATCACACACTTGTGTATCGGATTTGAAATTCTAAATGGTTTACACTAAACAGCATTTGGTATCATAATTCTTCAACTGTGATTCTTACAGAAATATTTAACATGGTTGCTGTTTAAATACAGCTTACAAATTTCGATTTCGTTTTGTTATATAAATGTATGATCGAATTGTGCATCCAATAAATTTCTAACTGCATAAGATAGTATAACATCGTAAAAATTGACTATTTTATGTCTAGTGGAGATCAGTCGCGAACTAAATTAGTAGTGTAACTACGGGTGACTTATTTTGTTCATAATTGGTCTGTAGATATAGCGCTATTGATTTTGTTTATGTTATGCTATTTTGTCCTGTAATACCGATTTCAACAACAATGTTGGTCAACTCTAAGCAGACGGTAAGACATCTATATTCAAAAAACCAACAAATTGGTCATAACATTATATGTGAATCTTTTCTTGCTGATATCTGTTTTTGTACACTGTCCTATAAAATATTGGTTTTCGTTTAAGCACTTACTTTCTGTGTACTTTGTATACATTGTAAAGATTATTACAAAATAAGCCAAATATGTAACCTTTTTAAATCAGTTATAAATGTGTTTTGAACTTAACCACATTACGTGAATATTATTTGATGAAAGGAATTAGAATTATTTTATTTTATTTATTTGGGTACGTCTTTAGAGTCTTATAAATGGTATGTTTTTTTCTTCTGATATTGTTACCTGCATCTGTCTACTGGATGATTTAACTTCAAAACTTTAACTAGTGTTCTGTACCTTAGGAACCTTTGCACCATCAGAAGCGTCCGACTGAACAACAAATCTTTCTCATGAATTCAGTATTTCTTTTAGTAATTTTTCCATCTATTTTATTAAGAAAAATGAATTGCGATATACCTCGTACTTTCCAAATAATGAGGTTTCTTTTGATTAATTCATTATAATTTGTCATTCGACCTGATAGTAGATCGTTACATGTAGTTTTGCTACTTCCTTTCTGTTGATTTTTTTTAAAGATGCATTCTACAATAATTCATCATTTAGGACGTTGGTATAAATCTTAATATGATTCGCATAAGAACTACACTGTTTTTGAAGCAGTCAGGAATTGTCGAGTATGTATCTTATTTAGCACTTTACTTACCAGCTTGTTTATCCATAGTAACACTATTAAAATGAACAGAAATGTTTCAATAAGTGTATTCTCTGGAAACTTGTAGATCATTACTTGACATATTCTAGTGTATACATATAATGTGCTCAGTTGTAAAAGATAATATACTCTAGTGAAAACTCAGATGTAACTGGTAAGTTTGTTACAATGTTCTGAATGAGTGTTAGTTTTGTTTATGTTATGTCTATTTAAATATAAAATTGTTTGTTCCATTTGTAGAAAAATTTCCTTAATGTCTTGTAGCTATATCGCAAGTATATGTGATAGCATGAAATACCTACCTGTCTGTTTTGTCAATCTTAGTAAAAATTTAATTTACTAGCTACTTTTTCAATACACATTTCATCATATTTTGTTTACTGTATAGGTAATATTGCTTCAAGTATTGTTACACACTCCTTGTGTAACTTCTTCGGCTTACCAGATTTAATAGGTGCCGTCGAAAGAGCTAAGTATCGTTGGGGTGTCTCTGGTCAAATTTTCGCTATTGGATCTCATCTGTTGGGGTTACTTTTATGGGCATATTTGTTATATCAAATAACTGAAACAAAATGGTCCTCATCAAACAACTGTCATTGTGATTGGTATTGAGAGTTTTCATGCCCATATGAATTATTATTTTTGGTGTTAATAGGACTGTTAAAATATTTAGATCTTCGTTTCAATTAGACTGAAAAGTCTTATCTGATATACAAATATTAAACATTTCTATAATCCCGGTAAACAGCAAATTTCAGTTCATCGAAGGTACAAAAATAGTAGGAATTAAAACAGATTTCACACGAAATTCAAGGCTACACCTCATATTCGGAATTGTAATTAGATTTTGTGCTGTTAAGTATGTACTTGTACGTCATTAGTTTGTCTGTTTTTTTTTACATTGTAAATGTGTACCCTTCTAAAATCTGTCATAATTATCAAAATTTTCTGGTTTTCCTGTTTTTCGGTAGACGATCTATTACGTATGTTTTAACAATATGTGGATTAATTACTCGTATATTAATTACTGTTTGTGTCTTATAGACCACTTAGCTGAATTCTTCAGATGCTACGTAGACATATGCTCAGCTGAGTGGATTTCAGTAATTTCATGCTGTCATTGAGATACCACCTTACTAATTAAGTCCTCCGTTGTTCGACCGCATGCAATGGAGAGCTGGGAAGCTAGGTTGTGAGGCTTTCGTATCATACGACTTTCATGTATGTGTAAAATGAGTACTTAGAAATGTTTATGCTCGTATATCCTGGGACCATCGAGTAAGCAATACAGTTGTTAGGAAATGGGTACTAGGTAAGGATGAAAAATCAATTGATGACGTAGTGAAACTTCATCAGTTGAGATGGCTGGGACATGTGTTACGTGTGCCCAACCACCGACTGCCTCGATGCGCGATGCTTTGTTGTATAGGAGTAGATTGGAAGAAAGCTAGGGGTGGCCAGACGAAAATATGGCAGAAGTCCATGAAGTCACTGACAAATGATCTGAGTCATATTGTTAGGTGTAGACTACCCGGTTGGGGACCGCGAGATGATAGCAACCGATGGTTAGAGACCCTAAGTGACATGGCTGAAAATCGTTTGCAATGGCGAAAGTGCATCCACCCTTTGTGTCCTTCCAAATTCTAACCTGAATTCTTCATGTCCCTTTCTTTTTTTCTCTCCAAATATATTTCACTGGATTATACTCCTTGAATAACATCTTCAAACCTTAATTTTTCTGATTACAGCTTATAATCGAATACTGCATCTCTGTGTTAATGTAGTGTGGCAACTCGAACTGACGTACGAACATACGAAGTTCTACGTTGTTACAGACTGACTGACTTTATGGACACATTCAGTCCAATTCATTTTTCATAAACATCAGGTTCTTTAGAGTTTTTACGCTTATTCGGGGGTTCCTTTTAGTTTGGTGTCTCTGTTTCTGGAAAAATCTTGTGATTAAAACAAATAAGGATGCTTGAACACTTAATTCCTCTGAATAATAATATGAACCCAACAATTTTGTATTTTAACGGTTTTGCTGTCACCAAATACTACTGCTAGTTTCGCTGTTGAATTTCAGATAATTCTGGGTGTTTACATCAGATTTGATGCAGGTGTATGTATTTCTAGAGTCTCCATAACCAATATTGATCTATATGTTATACTTTCTGCATTTTCTCCGCAAAATGTTTACGTAACTGTTGTGCATCATGTGAGTTTAATAATCCACTTGATCTGAAGTGACTACAAACGTTTGTGGCTGTATATAATTTAAAATTATTAGTTAATAATTAATTTCGGATACCCGCATACTGGTTTTTCCACAAATGCAACTCAGATTAATCAGCTAACTTGTAAATTAGAGAGTTCTGCATCACAATTGCGTCTATCTACCTACAGAAAATATTGCGAACGAGTTCCTATCAGGTTTGCTAGGTTTATATTGAGAGTCGTGACAATGTAAGTTTTGAGCATTTATATTCTCCGGTCTTATAAAACTAGGTTGAATGTATGTATCTTATGCTCGTTAAAATTGAGTGGTACTACTGATTCATCTTACTCGGAACGGAACGAAGAATCAATCAACCAGAGACTCGATAGGCTATACTGGTCCGTTGTTTCCGACTCAGCTTACTGGGTCCAGAAGTCTTGGTAAGATGTAGAAAGTGTATTCTACAGGCAACCAGAAAACACTAGGTCCATAAAGCACACAAATTAAGCGTATTTAAACAAAATATATATAATCGGTATTGCCATGGAAGTTTTTAAACATTTAATCGATAAGTTCGTCGATCGACTATGTTCGTGGGTGGTAAGAAATACCCAGGCATACTTCTGTGTACATGCTCCACAAAGATAAAACTACAAGGTATGAGTTTTTGGGGTCTAACGTACCCAACAATATTGCAGTACCTTGATGCATCAACGTTTTTGTTTTTGCAATCTTCATATTGTTAGCCGAAACTGCATATTTTGAATAAGTTTTCGAACATAATAGCGGGTTAATTTAGTATAGTCGGATTTCAACTCTTTGAGATGTCGCACCAGATTCCAAATCGATCCTTCCAAAGCCGTGTGATCACGTCATCTAACAAGGTGGGCTTGTGTGTAACTGCGACTGTTGTAATCCACATGGTTAGGGTGCCTAGAAGCAGTAGGTTTTTTGGTATCAACAAGCCAATGGTAAGGTTTGAAATGACCATGTCATAGGATCCTTGACCTGTTCAATTTGTTGAGACTCACGAGGTGTCTAGGTTCACTTAAACTACTTCTGGGAGTGACTACATACTGACCCGTTGTACGACAGGACTTTAACTGACTGATGAAGCTTGAGTAGATCTCCAAACGGTCACGGTGTAAAACGTCTTCTTTCCTGTTCATGTAGGGACTGGACACCAGTTCTTCTCATTGGCAATTACCAAATTATTTTGACCATCCTCCTTGAATGGGAACCCAGATATCTCTGTGTGCCCCGACTATGAAGTTTCTGAGTTCTAACTGGTCCTGTCCCAGTACTAGTAATACTACATGCTTGACAGACTAGTGTTACATATACTATCAAGCCATATATGTGTATCTACACCTCTTAGAAAATCAACCCATTTCTTTAACCACAGGTAAGCAGAAATACATGTGTTGCGTCTAAATGCTAAATTAGTATGTAAGTGTGACAGATATCGAAGCCTAAACAGCACTCCTACCGAAAGGCTACTTGTTGGTTTTCCTTTTTAGATCTTTAATTTTTTCGTATTATTAACGTTATATTTGGATTTTATTAGACACCACAATGGATTTTATACCAGTTCCGGAGTTACTTAAGAATATGTGACACATATTACAATAAAAAGTGCAACATAAACAACCCCTTGAACGCGATAACTTGAGCTGCCTTGGTAATTAAAATACATCAACCATTAGGTTCTTCTGTGCATGGTATGAGATGTTTAGTCACATACAGTCAACCGCTATGTCCCAAGATCGGCAGCCCATTAGTTGGTAAACTAATCTTGATGGTAGTATACTATAGTCTTAAGTCATATTGTGAACTACAATACATTTCATCAGTAACTATAAAAAAGTATGCAAACTTAGAGCCGTTATATGACAACATTAATATCGTATGATGATGACAGTTGAGTACATATATCAAGTATCACGGACTAAAATAATTTAATACAATGTAGTGGTTTTGCTTCGTTAACCGATCACCCTCGTAACCGATATTATATAAACATCAACGGTGTTTGAAATCAGAAGGCAAATAGAAGCGGAAACTACAGTTTATTAGCGGATAGCGCAGATCGCGAAGCTGTAGCAGATAGGTGAATATGTATGTGCGAGCAACTACATTTGCAAATATGTAGTCGAATTTCACAAAAGCACAGCAAGGCGAAGCACGTGCTAGTAATGTGATCCGCGTTCACATATTCTTGGGGGAGTACAACGAATCACCGAATGATATTTTTGCGATCGAAATTTTAGCTACAGATTGTCACATTCTCTGGCGATCGCAACAGCGCAAAGAATTATTCGAATTGTCACTGTGTAAATAAAATTGTTTATTGTGTCAATAAAGGGTCTTGAACAAAATTAACCATAACAGTTGTTGGCTATATGATAGTTGATCTAACCAGAATGATTATTCAATATGGGTTTCATTTGGAATCACGAACCGACCAACGTTGAAAAGCTTGGAGCACTGGATGTTCGTCTCATTATGCGCTTTGAATCCTTGTTTATATACATATAATTTACACATCCGTAACACGAACAGCAGCGATCTAAAATGACATATGTGCAATGGATTTTGATAAAGTGTTACGCAATATGTATTTTATGAGGGAAAATTACGTGACATTTGCTGAAGTGAGTAAATGATAAGCCAGTATAAATACATAAGTTCATAAACAATAAGTGCGAACATAATACTGGATAATGATTCTAAAAAAAGTGACTTACTAAAAATGTACAAAATGCTACAATTTACGCAACAAGAATAATCACTGAATACAAACATTCAGTACCTGAGTATTTAGTGGAATATTCCCAACCGATTGAGGTCAAATCCAGTCAGCATGAAGAGATTCCATTAGCAATGATTTTCAGCTAAATAGTAAGAAGAAGAATTAAAATATGCTCTTGAATTAAGTAAATTCAGAGTTCATATTGCTAACAGTCTATCACTACACGTCATAATCAACCTAATCATATACCAAAAGTATTACCTGAACTGAGTCAAAAAATTATCTTTGGACAATGATGACTGGAAAAATTTGAATATGACAACATTAGTCCAGGATACCTAAAAGATTAATTAATATCAACACTATCAAATGAGACACTTTGGATCGTTTTTCTCCGCACTTACTGTCACGAACAACCGATATCCACCCATAAACCTGAATTTTCCCCTATTTAATAATTTTCAAAACATTCTGCTCTATGTAGAGTGTTTTAAGGCTAGATAATGACGGCCACAATTGAATGAATGTTTTGTTTTGTCTGTGCTTCACCTGAAGAAACGGTTAACTTCATGTTCCCCATCCAGTAACACCTAATTTGTGACAAACAGATTATGCACATCCTCATAAAAGGTACCCTGTTTACTGTAACGTAGATTGAGTCAGTATTGATAATGATGTGATTTCAACGGAGTCTTATAATTTAGGTGGTTATATTATGGCCGATTTGCAATGTCACATTTGGTATATCAGCTTGGTAGCGTACATAAGTATCATAATATATACACAGATCAAATCCTTTTACGCATCGATAACTTGTCTTTGCTTAAATAAGCACCGCAATTCATCTTTTGAACAACAAAAGGGTCGAATTTTCCATTGGGAACGAAAAAACACACTAGATATCGAATTTTTGAATGCTTTTGGAATTTTAAGGCATACACGGATCACCTGATGTTTAGAACACCAGAAATCAATATAAGTCTTTTACTCATGAGATGACCTAATATAAAACACACCTGTCGTTTAATTTCCTTATTTTCATTCTTTCAATCATGCGTACATATATTGGTATATCAATATATATATCAAATACACTTATGATAGTTATCAATTTCTCTTATTAACAAGTGTAAGGTGATTGCGTGTATTACTTGAGATCGACCTAAATTTCTTTAAACACACAATATCCGCGATGAACCCGATTGTTCAAGGTCGTTGATTTAAAGGACGTAATTTTGAACCTATCCTGAGCACCTCGTGCTACAGTCGCGGTAAATTAGAAGTTTTTATCGAAGTTTTTGGTTTAGAACTGTCTGAGTGTCATTTGCTTGTTCACAGCTTCCATATTGTGGTTGACGTCTGTGACATACCTTGAGGTTTGTTGTTTGATAGTACAAAGGTGGTAAAATAGATACAAAAAAGATAGGAAGGTAAAAGCTAGTTCCAAATAAATGAGTTCAGAACATTTATATGTTCAAGTTTTCCGCAAATTTATCACTGGGATCCGTTGTTTTACGTAATATTTTTTTGGTACTTGGATTCCGTACATGTTTTTATCGTGGAACGTGTTTGCTGATTATTGTTAACGTTTAGTGCTAATCTTTCTCGAGGGCTAGCTGTTCCTAGCCCTTCAAATAATGAAGTGCATCGGAGTATTTACTAAAGCATTTGAACGATGTTCTGAGCTGCGAATTTCGGGAAAACTTTGGGGAAGGCGCTATAGTAAACTTTGGGGAAATGGCACATAAACCTCAAAATTTCCCTTTAAACTTGGTCAAGGTCATCCGAGTTTGGGGATTTCCCAAAAATTACCCAAGATTAACCCAAACCTGGGAGCTCGGGGTGGTGCATGAAAATGACACCAAAACTTCGACAGCAAATGTAATTCAGGATGTTCTCACTTTTAGGTCACGACTAACAATTATATTAAAGTCATTTTATCCTAGCTGTTGCAATGGTGGTTTCCAATACTGTAATCATTGTAAATTATTTCATTCAACGTGATTATCTTGCAAGCATGTATTTTCGACAATTATGTTGAGATGAATGTCCCAGATTTGATGAATAATAAACGTTTTGAAATATTTAAAATCGCTTAACAGAATCTCGTCCAATAGAATGTGTCTTATGATACACGGTGGTTGAATGTTTATTTATTTATTTAAAAAAAATATTAGCACAAGTAAGCACCAATAGATATTCGCCACATAGATTATTCGAGTTTTGTGAAGGATGGGATGCTGTCCTGGTGCCCGAATCGAAACAGGTAGTTTTTTTAGGTGACCACACCCGAAGCCTTTGACCCAAAGGTCTAATCCACAAGGCAGTGGAGCAATATAAAGAGATTCAGTCCCATGGTAGCCGGTGACCAATAACTGGTTCATACGCCATTTGTTTCCTCAGGATCATTGAGTTCATGTGCACGATTGTTTTGGAATCAGGGTTTATTACAACTCCCTCAGGTGAATTGATGTTCATAGATGGATTTTCGGTGGATACATTTTCACGAGATCGATCTATTGAGAAAAACCACTTTTCAAATTGGTTTCAATAGGCAACACAGTCGATCCGTGGAATTAAATTATTCTACTCTCAAGTCGCATGCTTCAATGCAAAGTATTACAGAGGAAAGCAAACATGGTTGGATATCATTCAGAAAATAACGATTCGGATGATGCAAATACTGTAGGTCACACTGTCTTCAATAGAATTGACACCTGGCTGTCAGACTAAATCTTTACTTCGTCATTTCAGTAACAGCTAATTCATCAAACTCACTTTCAAGTTCAACCTTGTCAATATTGCCACAAAAATCCACTTAAAATACCATTATCTTTCCCTTGCCTACTAGGAGCGTTAACCCTTCAAAAGTATTATGAAAGTCATTTCGATTGTTAACTTAAGATGAGGCTTTTCATTTAGCGATTAATAAAGGTGTTAATAAGGTGAAAAGTATTGCACATGTACTGTTACGTCGATTGAAAACAATGACATCACCAGAATTAGCAACCCTGTCTAGCCCTATTCCTTATCCAAAATGGTCGGGAATGTTAATTGCAATATTCATACCTCCTTATATTTCTGGTCACCAGTAGTAATAACCTCAGTTAGGTCACTTTTTGCGACATTTCTGTACTTGGTTTATATGTGCCAATTCATGTCTATTATCGCAATTTTTCTTCTCGAACAGGTAATGGGGCTGTGCGATGCGTTAAGAGGAAACGTGATTTACGAGACGATAAGAGTAAGATGATTTTACATAGGATTTTGTAAATGTATTGTTTTTCATTTATTACCGAATATTACGTTTATTAGTTTTTTTATGAACCGTTAGTTTATCATTTATTCGCAGTCCCACAAAACCAAGCAGCTTCAGTTCTTTTTACAAGTTAATGCTGATCAGCATCTATTTTATTGTATGAATGTATAAAAACTGAATTTCCTTTGCTAAAAAATTTATTGCCCATAAATAAACTCTTTGTTCATTAGATAATAAAGTGCTTAATCATATAATCTCTATGATTTCAGTGTTTTTTCATGTAAAATGACTAAAATGCTTACGTTTTACTTTAAAGCCGAAAATCACTTGACGGTTGTAAGATGTAGTATAGTTCAAATACTAGTGTATTAAGAAAACCATTTTTTCTGAAATGCGCTCATTCATAAAAAAGTTTATGGAAGATCTCAAATTATATTAGAAATACGCAATAATAAATAGCCATAACCCTTAATGTCACAGAATGCACCTAAGTATATTTGCTGTTCAGCTAATCGCGATTTTGACTGGAAGTGCTAAAATCCCACATGTATCAAATACACACCTTCCATGACATTTATTTTTTCTCTGGTTTAGCTTAAATTTCTTTAAATCAGGTGATTATACCAGGATAAAACGTACAAATACTTCGGTTCATGTTCCTTTTGTTATAAGTTGTATTTGGGCACAGCACATCCCCAACCGTCATTGTATCCTATTTAAAATCGAAGTACATAAAATAAAAACAACACTACTTTATATTGTTCTCCAGGTCATACTCAATAATTTCACGACTCAATCTTACGACCTAAATACCATAATACGAAGCCATGTTTTTTAATGACTACTTTGGGGATTTTACTTCCTGACTTCCATCCTATCTAGCATCCATAGGTTTTGCAGTGGTAAGCTGATCTGCTCTTTTCGTCATCAGATACATTTCCCCTACCTTTCATCTCTAATTTCACTACTAATTCTCATTGCAAATCAAAAGATAAGTAGATTTATATATTAATGTACTAAAAGTCATGGCAAGGATTGGCAAAGCAAAGACAGCATTCTTACATTTAAAGAACATGTAAAACTCAAAACAACTGTCTGTCAACATCAAAGTCAGAATTTACAATACAAACGCCCAGACAGCTGTATTCTACGGAGCTGAAACGCGGAGTACTACTATAACCATAATAACGATAAAGGTATTTATAAACGGTTGTTTAGGCTAGATACTCCATATCCGTTGGTCGGATACCATCAGCAACAACTTACTGTGGCAGAGAACAAACCAGCTCCCATTTGAACTCAAAATTAGGAAAAGACGATGGAGGTGGATAAGACGTACATTGCTGAAATCATCGGACTGCATCACAAGGCAAGCACTTGGAATCCTGAAGGGAATTCAAAGAAGAAGACCAAGGAACACATTGATTCAGGACTTGGAAGCAGACATGAAAAGAATGAATAGCAACTGTAAAGGATTACCCAGGACAGAGTTCGATGGAGAATCGTGGTTGGCAGCCTATGCTCCTCTGAGAGGGGTAACAGGTGTAACGTCAACTTCACCAGCCATTGTTAGATATTATAAACTACATATTATCCACTTACCTAAATGAACTCTTTATCAAAAGTTACTTATTCACACAATATTGCTGTTTTTATCTTTTGATAGTCTAATTGCATTAAGGTTCATCAAATTGATTTGCAACAAACAGTCATTATTTCTTCAGTAATACTAAATTGTTTATTTTTAAATTTTTTCTTAACTCATAAATGTTAATCATATTACTCCAATATAATTGAATCAACAGACCGATCCACTTCTAATAATCGTAATTTTTTAAATGTTTTATTGTACTTAGCCTTATGTTATGTTATGTTTGCCAAATGATTCATTGGCTTCAGAGTCGTATTTTTCTGAATTGAAGTGTGCATCTGCCTACTTGGATTGTACCTATTTTATTCTACGTGTTATCAATACTGAGTTGTTACAGATAAAGCAATCGGCTAAAATGAAGGTTAGTTTGTAAGTTAATCCATGGAATTCATGAATTAGTCTTTTTAATTAACGTTCTCGTGTGGGGTTTAAGACCAACGTACCCTATACCAGTTACACACTTCCCCACTGAGACTTAGTTACACTGAGTTTTGCTTGATGGTTCTGCTTCGGGTTTTAAGTATAATCATATCATTTCGTACATCAGTGACTGTACTTGGTAAATAATGCTTCTAAGGTAATGTGACAAGTTTTGAACAGTGTCGTTTGTCATTCAGTGATTGATTTGTAGTGTGACGTCGAGTCGCGGTTAACTATGATCACCACTACAGGAAGACTACGTGCCAGTTAACCGATAAGACCCCCCGTAAGCCAAATACCAGAAGGCAGTTGATGGCTGTAGTCGAGATATATTTGTTATCGATCTCGTGGTATTGAAAGAATACCGAGATCGTGCCAGGTTACAAATGTAGTCACTGAGCGTAACCGAATTCGTGCAAGGTCACAAGCAACGGAAGATTGTATGTATTTTGGTACAGTTAAACAAAGAAGTACGGTAAAACAAGCCCTGGTGCAATTGCTTATAATAATAACTGTTTCAATTATACTAATCGCGTTCTCTTGATAAAAGTAGATCACTACAGATTCATCTTGCAATGTCAATGACTTAGGAATTTCGACGTATGCTATCCCAGTGCTCTTATACGATTAGTTTCGTGAGATACATAATCATCATGCTTCATTATCTGTTTGTAAATCACAACTGTGGTTAAGTGCTGTACAACTTAGTAGTTTACGACACCACCAGTTTCCTCAAGATTACAGGTATATCTTGCCGATAAGTGTCAAATAAAACAAAACACAGATCTAGGGCTTCCCACCCACTACATCCAATCTCCTAGTATCTTAACATGTTGCACACGATAGCTAATTACTTAAACTAGTGAACACATTATAACTTGATTTATGGAATTTAATCAGCACCGAAGGACCAGACAAATATGACATTGTTTACTACCCAGTAATCAATCAAATGTAGTTTACAACACCATCAGTAATGATTGAATGATCAGGATTAATGTCTATTCCACTGTATGTTTGTCTTACTTTCCCCACGAACAGGATACCAAGCTTATAAAGTCATCTGTGATTGTGTTTAATATAAATATTACTTATAGTGTTATTATTACTATTATTGTTATACTATTTATATCACTATTCCACTCATCTCATTTCACGTTCGCAGATTAGTTTATGTGCAAAAACCTTAATGCCTTTTTATTTTACATAATAAATAGTAAATAATAACCATGATTTAAAATTAATATATGTTTTTCTCATCTCATTTTATTGAAACAAGTCCGACAATTTTTATAGAAATGTATTATCTATATTTGATTTACTGCTTAAACCTGAGAAAAAACCATCAGAATTTCTGGGCGAACCACCAAAACGTAAGTAGTTTTGTTTTCGGTCCAAAAAAGTATTGTTGATATTCGAGTAAATGATTCTCTGTTGTGATTTTCATCAAATTAAATTCACCTTTTACCGGTGCCAATCAGTACCATACTAAATCGTATGTCTGAACGTATGCCTGAACACCGACTACCACGACGTGCAATGCTATCCGGTATTGGAGATGGTTGGAAGAAAGTTAGGGGCGGCCAAACCAAAACGTGCCATCAGTGCTTGAAAACACTAACTTCTAGTCTGAGCCATGTTGGTAGATGCAGACTACTTGGTTGGGGTCCGCGTAACTTTCGTAACCAATGGTTGGAGACTCTCAGTGACATGGCTCAGAATCGATCACAATGGCGTCGGTGTATACACTCCCTGTCTTCCCTTAAACTAAGAGATTAAAATCACTTCATATCTTTCTTTCTACGAACCAATTCTTTCTTCTTGTAGTATATCTCTATATGCAATCTTTCTCTTATATATTACCACCTTTGACCTAACCACTGCTGTGAATCCGGTGTTCATCTCGTTGTGCTGATGCGGTATGGCAACCTGGACCGATGCACATATGTGCCTGGTCCTACGTTGTAGCTGACTGACTGACTGAAATCGTATGTACATCAAAATATCGGTCATTTACTTATAAGAAGTGTTTAAACCAATTCTTATAGTTGCACTGATTTTACAAATGAGTAGCTAAATGTATACAATTGTGAACCTATTAGATATATCTATCATACAGCTAGTATAAATCGCCCGAAGTAAATTAGTTTCAACTTTTTATTACAATCACACTGATTTGCTTTTTATCATTATTTGGTTTATTCCTTGATGATATAACAAATATTCCATCAGGTATTATCATTTAAAACAATTCAAAGTCAGTTAATTGATAATATTAATTTAATTCTTCATAAAAAATAATGATATATATTTCTTGTTATTGTAGCAAAAAGTGATTTATTTCGGCATTCAAAATATTCCCATCTACGTCATTATTTCACTCAAGTATGGAGATCGTTTCTAAACAACGAAGTTAGTTTTACTATGTTTATTTATACATTATAATTATTTCTGATAATAAAGTTGTAAATGATCATTAATTTGCAAAAAATGCATAGTGAAATCGGCAGATGTATAGTTGGTTTGTCTGTATAATTAATGTATAAACAACTGATCATTTTAACTTTTTCCATCTTCTACTAAATTAGAGACAACATAATAACGAAAAGCTTCAAACAATAAATGTGACTTACACCTTCATCAAACTTTGTAAGTGAATGCTGAGATACTTCAGTATGTTGTTATTAATTACTATAATAAATTCTATAAACAAACTAGATATTGGATATACACGCAATTTCCCTAATAAATTTTAGTTCGTAAAATATGTACAGCATTAAATACCTTTCATGTCATGACATTATTTTCGCATTTATCTACTTGAATTTAAGAAACATTATGGTTTGACATTCCTCGATTTCAGTCAGTCAGTCAGTTACAACGTAGGACCAGGCACATATGTGCATCGGTCCACGTTGCCACACCTTATTAGCACAGCAAGATGAACACCAAATTCATAGAAGCAGTTAACTCAATGGTGTAATGTATAAAGGAAAGATTGCATATAAGGATATAGTGCAGGAAGAAAGTTAGTTCGTAGAAAGATATGAAATAATTTTAGTCTCATAGTTTAAGGGAAGATAGAGAGTGCATACACCTACGCCATTGTGATCGATTCTAAGCCATGTCATCAAGAATCTCCAACCATTGGTTACGATAGTCACGCGGACCTCAACCAAGTAGTCTGCAATTACCAACATGGCTCAGACTAGAAGTTAGTGACTTCAAGCACTAATGCCACATTTTGGTTTGGCCGCCCCCAACTTTCTTCCTCGACTTCCCACTTTATCAACACATTTAAACATAGTGAATCTGTAATATCATTTTAACTGACTTACCGAATGCAGATTTGTGTAATTGACTTTTAACTGCACTCTTTGCTAGAGCTAGAAATATGTTACGCTCTTAATAGGGTAGAGAATAAGCGTTAACTCTACGAATTTCACAAGCCTATTATGATCTAATTGTTTAGAGTAACATTATTTTAACCCACTAAATAAACAAAGAAAAACTGGTCTCACATACGAGAACCCTTACTATCCATGTAAGAAAAGAGAATGTTATTGTTAAACTTCGGGAATCAAGAAAAAAATAACGTCATTGCGAAATGCCAACCAGTAGAGCTAACACATGTTGCATGTGAGGTGGCTATCCACCGAAGATAATGGGAAATGGTCGTGCAATGTCACTGATTGACTGATGTTAGACATTAACACTGTTGGACGCCAACTCAGTAGTTTGGAGATTAAGTTTTCGAGCGCCACCAAATGTCCTAGGTCCGAGTCCTACGTGTGGAATCGTGGATGCGTACTGTTAGGGAGTCCTATACTAGAACGAAACGACCGTCCAGTGTGTTGTGACGGGTGGTGTCTCAAATCCGATACAATGTACTACTCGCTTACCCTCCCCCCAACTGACTAATTGAACGAGAACACAAGATTAAGCAAGAAAGTATATTGGGCTACTGAATATAATGCACGAATACTCATTTAGCTATACACAGCTCTACCCCCTAGGAAATCAATCTATTTCTTAGCCAATGAAATTCACTTCTCGAAGTCATTTTTGATCGCTGTCGATTGACCTGATTAGGCTACTTCTGATTGACGCACCATATCACACTGCTTCCAGGTTTTCTGTAGTGTAACTTAGATCGTCTTATGATTTCAATAATATTAGATATTTGTTCTCCGTTGTTGATAAACTCGGTATGGTGAAATATCATTGGTTGAACTTCCACAACCAATCAAATCAAATTCATTTCGAGGATGTATTTTCAACTATTTTGTTAGTTATTTAAATGTGGAAAATCCTAATTGTGTGGTTGCTGAACTCCTTTGTTATCTGAATCTATTTCTTAATGAAATTGGTAACTTTTATTTCTATACTCAATAGGACTAACAGTTAAGCAGAATTAATGATGAAGTAAGAATAAATATTTGAAACAACATTCTAGAGTTTTTTCCATCAGAATTATCCATTACAATTTCTGTCTAATTTTCTGCCTAACAAACCGATCATATTCTTTCTGCATCCTATCGCCTCATTAGATAGACAGGTGATACTCCCCTCTTTACATTGACACTTGTGTGATAATTATTGTTTGCTACTTTATTAAATGAGGTTGTTTATCTATGTACTTGAATTCCTTAAAAATAGTTTGAATTCAGTAAATCCCCAATGTCTAGATATTCTTGTGTGATGCAGTTAATATATGACATTCTAGATTAGTTAACAAAAGTTACTGTGATAATTTCGTATTTTTCTACAATGCTCAACAGTTGATATTCAAATAACTGTAAACTGTATGTTAGCAAGCGTAAATGTCCTTAATTATATCATAAACTATCCTGTTAATCTAATGAATCATCATTGTTACAGTATTTAATTAATGTTACTGTTTGAATAATAATAATAATTTATAGTTCAAATTACATTTGTATCAGATACTTATTACTGTTTTATCTTCACTCTTCATAGTGAATTTGTAATTGTATTGCTTAAGTCATTTGTATGACAAGTGATAATTTGTATATTAATCTAATTAATTGATTATTAATTCTATCCTGTGGTGTTTATTCTGCTATATATATGCAGATAGCAGTGATCACAAAAGGGGTACGAAATCGTAATTCACATGCTAAAAATCATGCAGGAAGCATTAACGCTTATTAGACTTCAAGCTACTTGCATGAATTTATACAATCCTTGTAACTTTTACACGTCGATTCATAGTATCCATCACTTTCATTATTCTTTTTTATTTGCTCACCTAGTTATCAGATGACGTACGTCTAGAATCTGTACGGTACTTGGGTAATGGAGGCATGAATCGCTTAGCTGAAATTCGCTTATTAGCTGACCACATTATACCAATTTTTGATCCCGATCCGGAGAATAAATTGTCTCAAACAGAATTGACAAAATTTCCAACTAGTTGGTCTCGTTCAGTTTGTCATGCAGTACTCGGTTTAATTCAAAAAGGTGATTTCAATTATCCACGTTTGTACATTCGGCTGTATCGTTTATTGGATGAAACTTTGTTTGAATGTCCAGATGTCGAACCTTTTCTGATTAATTTAGATGTTTATTTAAGCTCCATGTAAGTGTTCATTATAGTGATCTCTTAATATGAAACGATTTTAATCAGACTAAAGTACTCTGTTTGTTAGCTTCCTATATGTAACTTCTGACTACGTAATACGTACGTGCAGTCTTGATAGAACTTTTTCAGACCAGATGAGATTTCTGAATTTGTGCCGAGATTTTATTTATATATCAACCCATAAGAATCAGCAAAAATTCCAAGTGGTGTTTTTGCTTAAGTTTTATAGTATTTAGCCTGCAAGCTTTGTATAATAGTTCCTGAGTATCTCATGAAGTTAAGATGTATAATTACTTCGCCAAGATAAACCTCAAATAATAATAATAGTACTTATGAACTCCCAAAATTGGTGATCCATAAACTTTAACAGACCATAAGATTATTATTAATAGTATGATTAATCTTTGCTAATAGAAACATTCAAAAATAAACTCAAGCCGTCTACGTTAAAATACTGAATACTAATTCACACTAGTTGTTTATCATTTCATAATTATTTTGGTGGATTTTTGTTCTCTGAGCTCAGAGAACAAAAATCCACCAAAATCATACACCTGAGCTACAAATCTTCTCCATCATCTCAATTTCACAATTATTCATTGTATAATACATCAAACACAGTAAAAGTTTACTTTATTTCAATTATTGAGATCATGAGTCAATTGAAGCTAGAGCACTATGAAAAACCTGGAAGCACTGGGCGGCCATTTCTAACTTCAAACAATCCAATATGGAATTTTCTATTTTCGATAGGTAAATTTAAAAATCACACCAGAGCTATTCTCAACTGTATCATGCCAATTAATTGTATCGTACCCAGGAATTCCGGTCAAATTTCCGTGCATTTAGTTGCCTTTTATTATACATTATAGAGTAGATTTTAATTAAACAATGAATTAGAAGCTTTAACGTTTCCGGCTGAGATATAACTAGACATATCCATTGCAGATTTTAATTATACTGACTTTTGTCCAGTGCTTATAGGTTTTCCATCATGATCTAGCTTCAATTGACTCATGATCTCCATTATTTAGTTTACTTTATTGTTGAAAATAATGTAAAAATGTCATGTTCCAACAGTTATCATTCTATTTTTTGTACGTAATCAATTTATTGTTTTTGTTTCTTTCTTTAAATGACAACTAGTTACCCGACTTTTTCTTTATTTTATACTTGTATTTTATGAAGTTTCTTCTGTTAAGATTATTCTAACTTTTATTATTCTTTATAACATATATGTGTTGTCTATTTGTTAGTTATCAGTGTTTTCATTTTTTGATAATTCTGAAAACTTCTTTTTTTTGTTTCCTGGAATTCTCTATTATTGTTTCTGATTTTGTTGTTGTTCTTGTTTTTGTTTTTTTTTCCAGACATTTAGCTACCACAGTTGTTGCATCATTCATAAAACGACTTTCTCAATTATCTTTATTTAGTCCAATTACAATTACACCTGCAATACTTTTAATCATCTTCAATGGTTTACAAAATCATCCTCATTGTCGTGTTTTAATTAATTCTAAACAGAAAAAATCACAAAAATTCAATAATATTCAATCGGATGATAATAGTTTATCAAATGTATTAAATGTAAGCTTTCTATTTTCTTTTTCTACAACTGTCCTGTTTATGAAAATGAAGATTTTGCCAATACATAATAGGAATATATATATTCATTTGTTGTTTTGTAAAACAAGAATAATACCTACTATGAGATGATGTTATAAATTCATTACATTCTACAATATTTTTTGTGTTTTTTTAATCGTTAAACAAAATTTGTCAAATACAAGTAATTGCATATGGTGTCCTATATTTTTTTTCTCTAGGCACAATCAATTGGTGATCCTTATAATTGGGAAGCAGATAATTTTGATTCATCTAGAGCATTAGAAAGTAGTCTATGGGAAGTTTATGCATTAATTGGTCATTGTTCACCAGATATCTCATCATTAGCTTATAAAATTTGTAATCCTGATCCAACGGATACTTTTAATTCCTCTGTGGCTGACATACTTGATAAACAAAAAAAGGTGAGTTGTAATTCCTTTTCTAATATTTTAACAATAGTCAATCATTTCTATGTAGTATAAATACTCCAACCTGACTGTTTTATTAACATTTATCGAATTCTGTTTCACTGAAATACAAGGTGTGGTCGTTAAAATTAGTAATTGACTTTTGGTACATTTGTATATGAACGAGCGTTCAAAATGTTTTTTTTTTCTAACATCATGAAATAGATTTTCAGTTGAAGCAATTGCTTGTATTGTCTGAGTTAGATGGTTCAATCGTGATGTGTCCATTGTAGTTCTGTATGAAATTATCAACTCCTACTTCATGTAGAATGAGCAATTGTAATCAAGATGGAAATATGGAATATCGGATTCCGGCTCAGTGGTATGTTTATGTAACATCCCACGAAATTTAAAGCTCCGTCGTTCGATTTTGAATAAGATTATAAGTGAGCAATATTTAACTGGTCCTTGTTTTCAGTAGTTATCCAATTGATTCTAAAGCGTGATGAAAAGCTATCTTCACGTTGACCTAATCTCCCTGAACCTTTCAACCATAAAAGTGGAAAATGTTGAAGTGTAATGCAGTCAGTTATGGACGACTCAGAAACCTTGACATCAAAGTGAATAATCTAAATTGTCAGTTGGTTCTTAATAATCTCTCTAAACCGGCTTGTAAAAATAGTAGCACTAATTAGAGAACCCAAGTAGCGAGCAACCTTTTTCAATATTTACAGAGGTATGAAAAACGGGTGTGTCTACATTTTTTAATTTATTTTTAATTATGGAATTCCCGTTGTCCAAATTTCGATTTTAGCTGTCTGTGTATCCGATGTAAGAAGCCTGTACACATTAATATGTTAGATTATGAACGTCTATAACATTTAATATCTCTATTATGAGACTTTTTTGTCATACTATTATAACTGTTATCACAAAGTAGAGGAAACGATGACCTACTCGTTAGATATTTTATAGTTTCCTCGATAAGTGCAATTTCTATATATTACTAACATTGACGTCATTTACTAAATTGTTTCATCCTACTGGAGAAGTGTTTAGCAATCAGTCATTATCAAACACACATTATACTTCTATTTCATCCTATAACAGCTGTTTAGTACAGCAGATATAGATGTTATATGTGTCTACATTGTTCATTATCGGATTCTGGATAACTCATCGAAAAATATACATGGAAATTCATGCTGAATCTTCTCTTGTTATTACCAATGATTTTCAGTAAATTATATCAAAACACTTTAAACAACTATCATGTTATCCCATTCTGTCGAAAGATCCCGCTTTAAGTGGTTATTTGCCATCATTGAATTCAGTGACATTATAAAATCAGAGAATCATAATAAATGTTAACATGTTTAGTGAATGTCATTCACAAAACTTTTTTCGAATGGAAAACTTTAGGAAAGACTGCATGTTTGTGACTCCTAGCGAAATATATATTTTAAACAGACTTCCTGGTCAGTTTCAGGGTTAAAATGAAGACGCTTATCGTCTAAACTGGGTTGCGGCCTTTCCTGGTGTAGTTGAAAACCTTTGATCTCCATCACTAGAAACATTACAAGTCGCTTTGTTCAAATAACCGACTTCCAACTCTGAAAGCGAAACCCTGTTCAGAAAATTATGTTCAAGGGTATGACCAACGGAAAATAATCCTACATACTAAAATAAGTCAATTAGGGCAACTGTTCAGAAAAAGCCCTACATGATGTATTGTCTTATCGCTCTTTACATCACCTACTATTTGTTTTAAAGTGTTGGCGCTATCACATAACATAACTCGGAAAAGTTTATAGAGGATCGATTGGCAGGAAGCAGACTAGATTTCATTTTAGTCATAAATGCTGTAAATATACGTTCATTCACTGTCGCATATATCTTTGAGCAACGGTCATTATCACTTGACATCAAAAACATCTGTTGTTGAAGTACCCCTAAACAATGCACTGATATTTTATTAATTGCCTAAAAATCTATTCAGTATTGGATGACATGCATGCTGTTCAGGTCATATGTGCACGAATAATGATGACCAGAAGATAGTTATGCTAATATAGAACACATCGTTATCCAGACAATATGTCCCTTAAAACAAGCCTATGATGTCTGCGATTCTACCTTACCCGATTATGACTTTGACGTAATCTACACATGTTGCCTCGATGGCTTCCATATCGCACGTTTTACACACACTAGAACTGAGTGGAAAATGAGTAGGGATCGTCAGTTTATGATTTCGACTTACTACATAAGGGTTAGTTGCACTGAATTCACCTTCATTGTTTTACAGCAGCTGCCTGAATTTAATCTCATCACACGAATGTATGGTCTGAAACTTTTTCATGTACTACCTAGATTACAAATTAGTAATCACCCCGTCATAATTTTTGATTAGATTGTTTGGAAACCGTCCAGGGCATCTAACTAATCAAATATATTTTATATGCAGAGTTGGATGGTGGCTGACAGTGAAATCTAGAACGCTCGTTCCGTCGCATATGGAACTTGTCAGCTGGACCCATCGAGGAAATTGGTATAGTATGCACGTACGCCGAAAAAGGCTGACCGATTGCAGTCCTAAACATCAACGAGAACATTCAAACAATCAACATAAATGAATTAAATATATTTTACTTATGTTATCACCGTAACTGTATCTTATAATAATCCATAATATTCGTCCTCAATAACTTTTTTATTCGTATCCTTAGAATATTGTTACATTTTGTGTTTTGCTTCCGGGTAACTTACTGTACCTGACTTTTTTAAGTTAAACAATACGGTTATACGTTTTGGTTGAATAAAAGAACATTAATTCAAAATAACTTGGCTCTAGCCCCAATCGTAATTTATCATTTCTTTCTTCTAGAATATTAAAGAAGCAACCCGCTCTGTGAAGGAAGCATTGTACCTGTTATCTCAAACTAATATTACGATGCCAGAGTTACCTCCGCTTGATGGTTGGGCGTAATTGGTTTTCCTTTTTGGTGCAGAAACGTTTAAGTTTTTATACAACTTACTATCTGTGCAAGAAACATTTTTAATTATAAATATCTGATTCTTTTGTATAATACCGAACGTTTATTAATTCTGTTCATATTTTCACCTTTCTACTGTTATATCCAGTAGCTTAATTTCGTGTAAATGATGTATACATCCTATGAGTTGTATTTACATGATAAGATAATTATTAAAATGTTTTTGTATTTATTTACTTTTATACTGTTCTCATTTTTTGTTGCGATAAATTTTCGTGCAGTACAAATATTTCACTGAAAAATGAAGTTTACAAGACAAACTACGTTTTGCCGGATGCATTCACGATTAATATATTTAACCATGGTCTTTTGCAAATGTTATTCAGTGAAAGTGTCATTAATGGGCATTAACTTGACAATTTTTCACCTTTCACTCTAATTGGTTGAGCTATTAAGTCAACTATCAACTTGCTCTTAGTTAAACCGTTTTCTGTAAAATGGTAATGAAAAATAATGGTCAAGTGTATCCGTCATATGAGCTATCTATGCACAGGATATGGGAAAGAAAACATCAGGTTTCTCAGTTTTACGGGCTGTTAATATCGACCAACCTAAGTGTCACAATGATCCGATATACTATCATATTAACGCACCAAAAACCTTACACTTTCTCAGTGTTCATCATACCATATTTTAGTCTGGGGATATCTGCTTTGTATACTTTAGCTTGTTGCATTATGGTATGAACTACACGGTAATGTACCCATCTTATTAAATACCAGATAGTTAAAAGGATGAACTGGTTATAGAGTAGTTTCAAATGCACGTAAAGATAACTTTTTGGGTCGTTATATAACCTATTTTAGGGTGCTTCATGTTCCTCAAGTGATTTCCTGGAGTTAAATGGGTTTAGGGAACATTCCTATTCAATCTTCGTCGGCGTTAATCAAATTCCTTTTGTTCTTTGTAGTTGTGTGACTAGTTCCTTATGGCAATGAGCAGCTGAGTATGATGTGTTTCGCGACAACTGAGAAGTATTCAATAGTATAGTACAGTGACAGAGGACCGACTTAAGAAGGGCTCACGAAGCCTTCTGTGAATAACCGATTGGTGCAATAAGTAATCATATAATATTTTGTTTACCCGGCCTGTTTCTGAATATCCCTCAATGTGAAATGAGATCGGTTTGGGTAATAGACCGTAAGGAGCTTTATGAAGACCCTTACAAAATTAAATCTAAACAAGCGTTGGTTTACAAAGTAAGCCTACACACGTCCAATTTCCTGTACTGTATATGGTACTGTAGGGTCATATAACGACTGAATGTTGACTGCTGTGTGATTATTCGCATAACGAATTCTGAATTTTCATGTTTATCTGCAGTATGCATACGAATTCGAATATTTATCCATTAATTTTAGGCATTTTAACGGATTGCAATTTTTCCTGATTGGTTGATTGAATTTTTACTGACTGAAATACAGTTCAGGTTGTACTGGCCTTGTTGTTCTCAGTGTATTATTACATCATAATTTGCTGATGTGGTATTAAGTCCTAATCATACAATCCTCAAAGCGGAAAATGAGATAAATGGGAAAATGGATTTTCCAGATTTAGGACGGAAAAAAAGGCCAACTATACGGAATGCGGCAACATTCATTCTATTGGAACGGTGAGGCTCGGACGTACAGGTGTGGTCATTCTTATGCAACCCATACCTTTCTACATTATATGTTACTCCATCCCTAGCCAAAATGTGTTCGGCCTAAGTATCATATTGTTACTTATCACGATATGATGAGTCTGTGTAGACAAGGCTGTGACTCACACGTTAGATCTTATATATTAGGCAGTCATATCATAGCATATCCAAAATGACTCTTACAGTAACTAGCACATTTCAAAGTGATATGTGTCAGAAATATATAATGTGTAACTAAGGAATAACAGGAAAATACATCAATACATCTTAATCAATATCTTACATATTTAGTTTATTACCCGCCAATGATCACCAGTAAATCAAAATACAGCAAGACATCTGGGCAGTTACATTTTGCATATATGTAATTGTTTCTGATCCTAACGTAATCAACGACTAAGAATCAAGAGGTATCAAATAATCACAGTCAAATGGCGAAAAACATCACTGCTGCTAGGCAAGGATCCTAGTTTTCTCCTTAAGTGAGAGAAAGAGCAAATTAATTAAATCAGACGTTGAAAATCAAGGATTTGACGAAGCAGTACACGTATTAACAGAAAGTTTAATATGTACTAAAAGGTCGCACGAAATATTGTGGGTAGATGGGACTGAAAAATATGTGAGTTGACGACCCAGCTGATACCAAGATTTTATGTCCTTACTCCAGCACCAAAACTACGAGAGAATAGATCCACTTGTTTGCGCTAGTTCGTCGCAAATGATATCGAAGTTGGAACTTAGGGACTGTTTCAACTCATAAATTTGTGAACTTATTAGACAACATCTGCAGACGGACAATAAAATCAGCTCCAACAACGTATCTTCAAACGCATCAAGACATATGCTACATTTTTTTAGAATGCGTGTGCTTAAATATAACTTTATAATGATATGTTCAATTCTTTCACGCTCGTTTAAAACACTAATTCATAGCTGTAAAACCATTATTAATGAGATCATCTTTGGCCGAAGACCTATAAAACTATTCATTTTTGGGATTTGTTTAACGCTAGAGAGTCCTTGTTTCACTTTTTGTTTACAATTTATTTTCAAACAAGTTAGTCTCGGCATACAAATATCCACTTATACATTGTTATTGAATATGGAAGACGGTAAACCAGACGCTTTGTTTATTATACTTTCTGTTTTTTCAAACTATTGAGGTCGACCAATAACGACGGCGACGCCACTAACTTTTTGGCTGAACAATACTCCCGGACATTTCATCTGACCCACATCAACTATACTGATGACAACTTCTGCATCTGCAACTACACAGGACTTCCCGAAGTGAACCTGAGCGCTGACTTGGTGTTCGAGAACCTGCAGCACCTAAGAAAGGACACTTCTCCTGGCACAGATATGGTTCATTCTGCTATACTAAGGGAAGCAGCTTCAGTCCTGGCAACACCGCTTAGCGTGATGTCCTCACACTCGCTAGGCCGAGGCAAACTACCGGAAAATTTGAAGCCGGCTCACATCACACCAATTTTCAAACGAGGTCGACTCAGCGAAGCTTCAATTTCCCGACCGGTGGCTCTTCTCTCTATACCTTCAAAAATCATAGAATCCCTGATATGCGATGGTATATATGACTATTTACTGTCCTCAAATTTGTCACCCCAAGAGCATGGTTTTAGGATGGGTTAATCTTTTATAACCAACCTGCTGACTGCGGTGGACAGATGGACAAGCATCCTTGATCGTAAGGGGAAGGTTGATATCATGTATCTTGATTTTTCGGAAGCTTCTGACAGTGCCAACCATGTATGTCTTATCAATAAGCTCAAACGAATGGGTATCAGACCACCTCGAATTGATTGGCTCATTTCAAATCTGAAAACCGACAATTAAAGGTTAGGGTTAGCTTCATTTCAGCTCAGGCTATGGAATGTCCTAGTGTGGTCCTCCAGGACTCAGTACTAGGACCTCTTCTGTTCTTGATTTTTATAAATGATCTTCCACAATAGGTATTCCCAGACTTATTACTTTTTGCTGATGACTTGAAACTTTGGGGAGAGATACGCAACCAAGAGGATATGCAGGCACCATGCTATCTGTGAAAAAATGCCTTTCGAGCAAACCTTGCACTGGTAACATTGAAGCGCATTTTTGGCCAGTTCGACGGAAGAACCTTTCACATTGTCTTCAAAAGTTTTATTCGTCCTCATTTAGAGCACGGAAACGTAGTATTTCTTCCCTCACTCGAAAAGTATAAGGACACTCTGGAGCGTATCTAGCTGCGAGCCACGAAATCAGTCCAAGGACTCAAACCTTCAGTCACTTAACCTTTACCCGTTAGAGTTTAGGCGTCTTAAAGATGGCCTTCTAATGGCTCACAGTATCCTTAACACTTTTGAACATCCCCTTTAACACCTACTTAAGCTTATTCCCAATACAAACCTAAGACGTAACACACAGAAATTGGAGATACAACACAGCAGAACGGACTGTAGACACAACTATTACTCCATAAGAGTTGCAAAATACTGGAATTCGTTGTCGACTAAGCTAGTCCAAGCGACTTCTAAGGAGTCATTTAAGAGGCAACATGACCTATTCTTAAGGACTAAGGATAACATCTTATTATGATTTACCAATCTCTTTTTTTCCTCTTTTATCGTCAACATACCTAGACTTCTGCCTGGAAGTATTGGTGATTCCTTGCTACCAAATATGGAAGCCCGTGTAGCGAAAACTCCTTGTATTGCACCATTTCATTGAGAATTGAAGATAAGCACTAGCCATTGCGCTCAGTTCGTATAATTGCGGAACATATCACCTATCTAAACTCCTAAACTATGTCTTTGAAACAGGCCGTCGCCAAAAGTAAGTATCCTACTATGTACTGTCTATAAGTCTAGAATTGATGGATGAAATAATTATCCCCTTGAGAAAGCCTAAAGATTGGAAAGTTCTCGTTCTGGATCGATTAGCCACTAGAATTGTATCCTCGTGTTGTAAGATGCATGAGATAATGAATAACGGCATAACATGTAGTGAATATTTTCTGATAAATATTTATCTCTTAGTGGTTGAAGACATTTTTAAGAAAAGGGAAGTGCTGCCGATTGAGGCAATATACTTGATCACTCCTACAGATGAAGTAAGAAAATTACTATACTTCTAACTCCATAGTCTTTAAAACTTCTAATGGAGGATTTTCAAGGGTCCCAGAGTCAATATCGTTATGCCCATGTCTTCTTCACCGAAGGTAGGTTAACTTTCAGATAATGTAATAGGCGTGTCTTATTTGCTCTCTTCTCGAGATGTTTTCCGTTTTTTTTAATGATAAATTCACTACATCTGTGGCTTAGATTATTTCCTATTGATAATAAGACCAGAAGTTTTCAAAGCGTTCGAGGGACCTGGCAGTGATATTCCCACACAGGTCCCTATACTCATAGTCGGTGGTTGTGAAGCTTGCCACAAATGTGCGTTAGCCCAGGTTACTGTACCGCATCAACGCGACGAAATGGAATTTCCAAGACATGATGGAGTCAACTTGGCATAGTAGCGATGAGAAGAACTACTGAATCTGATTCAAAAAACAGTAAAGATGCATGTGTCAAGAAATCCTGAGAGGAAGATTAGATTGAATGCCTCTGCGAAATTGTGACTTGTGCTGAGCTATATCGCGCATAGGCAATGGTTGGTTGTTGTTGTTGTGCGTCCTCCAAATAGATAGTCTGCATCTACCGAGATGTCAGTTAGTGGCTTCCTGAACTGATACCATGTCCTGATTCATCCTATCCTAGCTCTTTTCAAACACATTACTACTCCTGCTAACATCGCTCATCAAAGTAGGCGTGTTTAACATGTCTTAACCACCTCAGTCATTAATGATTCATAACCATTCAATCCACTTTCCGCATTTTCCTAATGTCGCATGTCTAAGATCAACATCGCTCACTTGGTTGTCACATGAAACGTGAGCAATGGTTCGAGGAAATCTATGGTCCAAAACTTGTTTATTATTTATTTATTTATTTGAACACAAATATTGGCACAAAAGGTCACCAAATATATATGTGCCACACAAAACAATGAGAATGGGAAGAGGAAAATGAAGGTGTGGGGTGTAGAAGAAAAAGAAGAACAATAACGACCAGATTAGTGTAAGGTAGTGTAATAATAATAATAATAACAATAGGGGAAACGGGAAGGTACAACCAGAAGAGATCTTTCAGTTAAGGAAGATACAATCACTTTTTATGAAGAAAGCAAAAGAAGATTACAGCAGGATCGCCACTGGTTTCTATTCTAAGCCATATCTTATAATGTCTCTAGCCACTGTGTCGCACCATCTCTCGGACCCCTACCAGGAAGTCGTGAAGAAATAACAAAAGCCAGCCCTTTGCAACTTTCCTTCATATCATGACATCATGTCATACACTGACCACCTCTCCGCTTTTCCAACCAGTCCCAGAATCGGCAAATAATGCACGATGTGGAATTCTCTGGAACGACATTCGTATAACATGTCCAAGCCACCAAAGTCGATGTTTCAAGATGGTGACACCAATTAGATTATCGTCTCTGTGCCCGAACACACGATGCCGAACCTCTGCATTACTGATATGGTGTTGTCACCGGATATCAGCAATCCTTCGGAGACAACGATGATCGAACACAGAGAGTTTTCTAACGTCCCCCGATAGTTGTTATGGGAACAACGTGAACCGTTTATAAAGATAGGGACAACTATCGACTCATTTTATGACGTCGGTACACTCTCTAGTTCCCAGACCTTTGTAAACAGCACAGTCAGTTCCTTAACCAGAAAGTCACCACCATCTTTAAAAAGAGCCCGAGGTATGTCATCTGGGCCCCGGTGATTTGTAGCGCTTCAAGAGTTGGAGTTCCTTGCGGAATTCCGCCTCATTAGGTGGATCAGTCGTCACCAGCCATGGAGGGCAGGACAGTTTGACCGGTGTTGCCGGAGCAGCGGGCCAGTTGAACTGTCCTTCGAAGAATTCTGCCCATCGTCCAAGACATCGATGGATGTTAGTGATTGTCGTCCCGTCATCTTCGCAGATTGTTTCGCTCACACCAGACTTCTTGCTGCCAATGGCTCAGATGAGCTGTTAGAGCTTCCGGTAATTACCAGATGCAGCTACTGCTTCCAGCTCATTAGCACGCTCCGACCACCAGGCTTCTCGGTCCTTACGCAAGCTTTGCCCGATTTCATTACGCAACAGCCTTCGTTTGTGGTCAATCTCACGGCCACCCAAAGTAGACGGACGGGCTTCGATGAGTTGTAAGGAGTCTGAAGAAATTCAATGCTTATAAGCGGAACGTTTCGCGAAGCAGCAAGCGGCTTTACTCGTCATTTTCATGGCGTCATGAAGTTGCAACCAACTTTGTTGGCCACTGAAAAGTAAGGTAAGATTGGCGCAGACCAAGGTATGACCAGAGTCGAGGTAGGTACTCCAAAAGGAGTGGCAGTCTTGTACACAACCACGCCAGCGGTAACTGATCGCGATGTGATCAATCTGAATACAGGCTTGAGATGCAGAGGAAGGACGCCAGGTGGCACATCGGCGATGACTGTGCCGAAAGTTAGTGTCAGCCAGAAACAGGTTGTCGTCTTTGCACAGTTGCAGTAGACGGTCCCCGTTATCTGTCTTGTGACCAAGAATTCCCCACCGGCCACCTAAACGATTCTCTTTTGTGCCTAGACGCCCGACCTGAGCATTTAAGTCTCCGGCTAGTACTACAATATCTGCCAAACTCACTTTCTGGAGAAGAACAGATAACTGGTGGTAAAACTCATCCTTGATTGCATCCGGGCTGCAGTCTGTCGGGGCATAGGCGGAGATGACGAAAAAACATCGTTTCTCACGCCGATTTCTTCTCACTTTGATGGAACTTTCCAATCGAACAGCACATAACCGACTGTTAATGGGGATCCAGTCGATTAATGCTGCCTCAGCTCTAGCGCTTAGTGCGATACCAACGCCAGCAAGACCAGACGAAGATACCATAGGGTCCCCTGATAAACGCACGTAAAACAAGCTTTTTGAAGCGACAGATGGAGATCGAATTTGTAGTACTTCACCAGAGTCTTGAATACGGGTCTCGGATAGACAGCAGACATCGATATTAAGACTTTCCAAATACAGCCAGCCCTATCTGTTGTCCGATCTGCATAAGTGTGCGAACGTTGAAGGCAGCCAGTTTGACTGGTGCACGTGGTTTCAGAAAAACTGCTTCAGTATTCGTACTTGATGGTAGCATACAATTTTCAACCAGGCAGTGACTCGAGAACGTTTAGATAGAACCGAGTTTCCACCATAGGCGAGCTACTGTATAAGTCGAAAAATAAAGATAGACAGAGTGGGAATAAAAGAGAGTGAATAAATGACATAGTAAATAATAATAATAATAATAATAATAATAATAATAATAATAATAATAATAATAATAATAATAATAATTACAATAGTAATAATAATAATAATAGTAATGTGAATCGTTTGTTTGTTAATCGTATTTTCCATAATTATCGACAGTTCATATTTGTGTGTGAGCTGTGATACTGCCCGGGTGCCCAGACCGAAGCAGGTGATTTTCTTAAGGGGCCACACCCTGAGCCCTAAAGGTCTAACCCACAAGGCAGTAGAGCATCGTGAGGAGATGCAGTCTCGTGGTAGCCGGTGACCAACGATTGGTTCATACGCCATTTGTTCTCGCAGGATACTGGAGCCCATGTGCACCATCGATTTGGTTTGGAATGGGCATGTTTCATAGTCATAAAGTAATACGAAATGGACTGCTGCACAATATGCTAGTCAGATTTATTTGCATCTACCTTTTAAACTGTAGCTGGTATTGCAGTAATTTTAGCAGCTAAAACTTGACCACACTCTTAAAGATCTCTGGGGTTAAGCCATCAGGCCTCCATCGCCTTTGATTATCCATAGTTTTTTCAACCCTGTTCCCATCCACCCTCAGTTTGATGTTGTCCTGATTCCCTTACCTAGATTACATTTTCCAGTTCAGTGTTTGGATTTGTTTCTTTTTTCCAATGAAATAAAAAACGACCCCATATACTTTTTATGTTGCTTGTGAATCGAATGTCACCTTAGTTTAATAAAAAGAACTCTCCAGAACATGTAAGTTGTGTTATGACATCAGCGGTCTCATTTTATGCTTCTGGCAACATAGTATCCTGAATGTGTTAGTTAGGAATTTCTCAAGTAGTTGTCTTCAGGTCGAAACGATTTTCCTTCACCTGTATAGCGGGCGCTTGTAAACTTGGTGGATAATAACATGTACCATTCAGTACTTAACTTAATATATCAAACATCTTTTCTTGTTCTGTTACTTCTATTGCTTTGTAAACTGCAAACTGGTATGATTTCATCTCAAATTTGTTGTCATCAGATCATATTTAATGTAGTCTAATCATCTTTACATCGCTACAAGTATTTTTATGCTTTGGGTGTATTCTTATCGAAGATATATGACATGAATGCCTCAGTCTATATACACCTATGATATTTCAGTTCTTATCGTAAACTTCATTGCTTCTAGCTTGCCCAGATGAGCTGTTCAACCGGCTTTGCCAGTCGAATTCCGCCATATTTTTAAAAACGCTTAAAGAAATAAACATAGCTTTTCTACCGGTTGAATCTCGAGTCTTTTCGTTGGATTCACCCATGAGCTTTCAATATTACTTCAATCCAGTAGCCAGACAACAGGGTTCGGGACAACAACTTGAGCGAATCGCTGAACAGATTGCAACGTTGTGTGCCACATTAGGTGAATATCCCGTTATTCGTTACCGCACGTAAGTTATTTTAAGCAATTCATCTTTCTAACCTCAGTATTGATTTTACCTGCATGACATCCAGAAGTTTATTAAATTTTCATTAACATTGGCTAAGTTATTGGTCTATGCAGCATTGGGACATTTTAAAAATTACTTACTTTAATGTAGCTGTTTTTGTGTAATTGGTATTCGAAAAATGATGCTTTTTGCTTTCATGGAAGTTATTAATCTACATCGTATTCTGGTAAAAACACTAACACTCTGAATTTAAGTAATCTATAGAATAGAGGCTTCTATCATCTTATTCTTTCAAGCTGTATTGTTACCCACAGCACCACGAATTTTTCGTTTGTAGTTCTGGGACTGTGTTACTCCATTTCTCTGATCGACCTTTCTTTGATAACACGTGATTCTGATTTAAACTTTTGTAAATCCCACTGATATTTTAGTTGAGGTTAGGGAATGTAGCTTTTTAAATGATCATTGAATTATGATAGTTCCCAGCTAATATGATATTTTATTACGATGTAATTTTCCCATTTTAACGTTCATATAGTGTGTCTATATAAATATATTCCATTCACTAATAGTAGGATGTATGAACTTCTATAAATTGATTCAAATAAACAATTTTGAAATTAAGATATTATTATTCACTGAAGCATTGATCGCCTTTTGTGAGTTCACCGAATATATTTTATTCGTACATAAATGTTTGTATTATGAATAAGAATTTCTAGAGCTTATAGACGTTTGATGCACGATTCACATAATTTCCAGTAAATTCAGCTTTAGTCATCCAGTATTCAACGAAAAAAACAGTTGTTTTAACAGTTTCAATCTTTTTTGGATCATTTTAGTCAGTTTGAAAGGAACGCCGAGTTCGCACAGTTAGTTCAACAAAAATTGGATGCATACAAAGCGGACGATCCTCAAATGGGCGAGGTTAGTCAAATGAAACTTCAGTACTCAAAGTAAAATATCGTAAATCTATTTAAATATATACTCTATCAAGTTTTTAGTATTCTAAATAGTTTTTACGAAGTTAGTTCAATCCATCGATAATGTGATTTATTTTTTTTAATCAAAAACATGTTTTTTGTTCCAGGGTCCACAAAAAGAAAGAAGTCAATTGATTTTACTTGACCGGGGATTCGATCCTATCTCACCTATTTTACATGAACTCACTTTCCAAGCCATGGCTTACGACTTACTGGCAATTGAAAATGATGTTTACCGGTAAGCTGGGTTGCTTTTGTTCACTAGTTATTTTCTGAGTGCGTGATACTAATCCTTATAATAATAATAATAATAATAATAATAATAATAATAATAATAGTAATAATGTATTGTGCACCAACCTAAGGTCTGTGCAATTTGTTTTTGTGGCCTGGTTCTTCTGTCTTAACGAGTTATTATGTCAAATCTGTTACGTGATCACGGTTGACACTGATTGACCAAATAATCAAGTTGATTAATTTATTAGTACCAATAAAAAACGGGCATAAAAGCATATGACAATTCATCAAACCAGTCATTTTTTAATCGATTTACGAAGTGATCAGTTTTAATCAAATAATTTATTCAGTCACTGCTTAGAATTCAATGATGAAACAATATATTTTTTTAGCTGATCTATGATTTTTTTTTAGATACTGAATGAATGTTTCCTATTTAATGGAATTCATTTAATTTACTACTAACAGTTGTGAAGTTCTAGAAAAGCATGCTTAATATGGGTAATATTTAATGAGTAATTTGTCACATAAAAGTGGTGTTTGAGGATAGAAGTCAATTTTTTTAGTGTTCGCTGTATATCAAAACTTGCGTTACATCATTTGTTAATATACTTAAATTAACAGTCTGATAAGACGTACAAATTTTACATTAGAAGTATTTATATCGATTTCATTTTCTCAATTTTCCTAATGCATGCGTTGCTCCATCGACGCGACTGTTAAATGTATATTAGTGATTTTGTTAAAACCGTCAGATACATATTTATAGTCAATAAGTCCTGATTAACCTTATTATTATTTTCTACCATTATTCAAATCAAAAGCAAATACAAAGTTACTGGACACACTTTGTGCTGTTTCTAGTACAACATAGTGCAAAACATTAAATATGGTTATTTTATTTGTATTCATATGCCTATCTGTGAATAAAATTATTGGTTTCATATTGATAGTGGCAATCAGTGAAATCCATAGTCAGTATGCTATCATTAGTCGGAACATAGTGGCTTAGTAGTTAAAGCATCTGAATTTCAACTGCGGAATTGTACGTACCAAGCCTTCTCGATTGGAACGATCGGTTAGCCGCATTGGCCTTCATACAGCTGAATATATTAACTTAGTACTGACTATTAGTGCAAAAGCAGTAAGTTGTATTAGAATGGAAATGGAATAAATTATGAAGTTTTTTCTCAAACTAATAACTTTTCTTTATTTTGAAATAATGGATATTCCAGTTACATCAACACATCAGGTCCTGAGGAACGTGTTAAAGAAATTATCTTGGATGAAACTGATGAGCTTTGGTGTGAACTTCGTCATCAACACATAGCAGTCGTTTCACAACAGGTTAATATTTTTGGTATTTAATGAATATCTGAGCGTCTTCATATTACAAATGGCTTAGAGAATAGGAAATACCATCCAATAACTATTGTTTAGGATTCACGCTTGATGTATGGAGGTTACCAATACATTGTTTCCTATAAGCTTCATATCTGCGACCAAAATCATTCAGTTCAATGGCTTTTTAACATTCTAATTGTCTAGACTGAATATCTCAATGTCTAAATACCAAGGAGGCCATAAACCCCACTTTTTTCAGAGCTTAAAATACTACCCTGTTACTCTAATTTTAATAGGTAAAGTAGAGTTAAAATATATAACTAACTGGTTAGAAGTTGACTACTGTAATTAAGAGTAACCTAAAGATTCCTTTGCTCAATATTATTGTGTTTAGGGAGTGCCTAGATTTTCTAGTGTCATTAGGAGTGTGACAGCGAATTTGTTGATGAGAGCAGCGTAAATGCTGTAGTTACAGTGAACATGATATGTAGAAACCTCGGTAATACTGTGGTGCGTGCTACTTATATTGATATAAGTAGTATATAACGTTAGTCAAAAGAACGTGATGTCTGGCAGCAGAAGATGGAGAAGATCAAGAAAAGAAGAGCGAGAACACAATGGAATTTGTAAGAAATCGCATGAACAATGAAATGCGAGACAATGGATTGATGTTTGCAACAGCAACAGTCCGGTTTGATATGATAGAATGATATTTTGCAAATTAACGATTTACTATATGGTTTTTCTATTTTACCAAGTAATTCTGTAATTTGTCCTAAATACAATTTGGCTGTCCTCACCCGTGTTCTCCTTCACTACAATACTACAAGTTCCAGTTTCGTAGAATTGCATATACACACTTACAGTCAGGTGGATAAAGTATACATAATTAGTTATAACGGGTTGAATTCAATAGCATGCGTAATTAAAATTATTTTTAGTGAATACAACTCAACCCGTAACAATAATCTTTGTGTGGTTGTGTGACGTTCGATTTGATTTTTATGCAACTTCTATTGAGAATTCTAAGTTCTGTAGTAGAAATTCTCGAAATGTCGAAAATCAATTGTTCAACACCATAAATATCAAGGAATTGTGTATTTTTATATGACTACGGACTCCAAACTCAGAGAAATGATTGGTATTTGGTTAGCGTTTTTATTTATTCATCTCTAACACAATGAGAACTGAGATAAAAAGCTTTAGATAACCAGAGATTACAAAGTAGATTTTTAAAGCATTGGTCAAGCTGCTATTCATCGAAGTTTTATGTTTCTTGTACTCGAGGCAACAGAGAAAGTTTTCGAATGAACACCCTAAAAAACTACACTACTTCATGAATTTACCATCAATTTCGGTTTCGTCAAGATTTATAAGGTTGGAAAACATAGTTCATTAGTTAATCAAAACCATTAAAGTAGTCTCTTCATCTTTTCGTAAATCATAAACATGATTTTGTCATCTATTTCCTGTTGTTTTATTCTAATAGGTTACTAGCAAATTGAAAAAGTTCGCTGAAGATAAACGTATGGTTAACGCAGGCGATAAAACTACAATGCGTGATTTAAGTCAAATGTTAAAAAAAATGCCTCAATATCAAAAAGAGTTATCCATGTATTCAACACATTTTCATTTAGCTGAGGATTGTATGCAAACTTATCAAAATCATGCTAATAAACTATGTAAAGTCGAACAAGTAAGTTTTTTTTTAAAAAAACAACTTAGTAAATCAATACGTAAGTATTTTACAACTAATTTTATACAGATCAGACTAAACAACTTCATTTATTGGAAGTTTAATTATTTAGTACCTAACATTTTGATTATGTAAGATTACCAATCTATCAGTTGGACTATTAAAAATTACCACATTGATATACAAGAAAAAAATTATTTGCGTTATTTCGTTCTGGCTTTGTTTTTAGGTGCAAATAGCAAGTGGAATAAACTTTTCACAATTCAATCTTTATTTTGGAAGTTGTCATAACGTTGTTCAACTTTTAAAGTAGTACGTCCGAATAATGAGCTATATCGGTCATTAATGGTTAATCTGAGTCCTTGGTGTTTGTTTGTTTATTTACTCATCCCTTTTGCTCATCTTCATCTTAAACAGTGTCATCATGTAATTCTATTTTCTGTCTTCTTCCCCTCACGTTGTTTATAGGAAATGTAACGCTTTGAGCTATTATACATTTTTCAGTCTGTCTACTTTTAGATAATATGGCGATTCAAATTTTCGAGTATTACTTTTAAAAGGAATAATTCAACCGGAATCATAATCATTTTAAACTACTTTTTAGGATTTAGCCATGGGTACTGATGCAGAAGGTGAACGAGTCAAAGATCATATGCGTACAATGGTTCCTATTTTAATTGATCAGTCAGTTTCAGCATATGATAAACTTCGTGTGATTCTTTTGTATGTTATACAACGGGGCGGTATAAATGAAGAAAATTTAGCTAAATTAGTTCAACATGCTCAAATCCCCTCATCACAGGCGTGTATTGTGCGTAATTTGATGCATTTAGGAGTTCCTGCTATCCAGGATGCTTCAGGAGCTGTAAGCAGTTTTTTCTCTAAAAATAAATCTTCTAATAAACTTCCGAATTACTACTTATAAACAGTGTGTTAACATTTTTGTTTATGCACTTTTTTAATTACTTGTTTAAGAGATAGATTGATTTAGATTTTCAACTTGATAGATTGGGTAATGTAGAAATGTTTAGTAAACTTTGTTCGAAACCAGGAAATAGATGTCAGCTGCGAAGACTTATAATCTCTCGGAATAATCACTTCTACCCAGTTTATATTTCAGTCGGTTCTGCACACTGGAGCACATGAAATTAATTACTTTCCATGCTTTGAGTGCTCACCGTATTATGTACAGTATCATACATATTTTTAGGTGTTTAGTATAACCTGTCTGCCGGATTGATAATAAACTATCATAAAGCGACCTTGGTTATAGTGTTAGTGTAGGCTTTGGTATGTTTGGTGTTGCAAATATTATGAGGATAGGTAGCAACCAGAAAATTCACATTCTCGTCATATTATTTATATGGTGTATTTATCGGTGATCTATTTTTTATGCTAAAGATAGTGTGAAAAGTTACCATTCTTTTTAAACCGCACTTATACTCTCTCCTGTCTCCAGCTCTTATTTTTTATCTATATAGTTAACCCCTCTTCACTTTCACATGAAATGCCGTGATAAAAAAATATGTAGTTAGATTGTCCGAAATGTATCGCGCGATTAAACCATATTTTTGGATCAACTTGACCTTTTCATCACATCATGCGAGTTTATTTAAAAGAGGACTAACTAATATCAAATTCCCCTAAATAAACGATTATCATTGTTAAACTTTAAATATAAGTGACATGAAAACAGTTTTTTTCGAAGCCCAATAACTGAATTATTCATTTGTAAAAGTAAATCTTTTTCAAAAGAATATCATATATATCTCCTCTGTTTTTGGGGTAAACTTTTCAGGTCGCTTATGTCAAGGTAAGGTTGCATACCGTCTCTTAAAGCTGATTTAAACACAAATGACTAAACCTACTTGAAATCCTCTGAAATTATGTAACATTCTAACGGTCTAATCCCTGCGTTTCTCATTACGTTTCCATTAGAAACCAATCATTTATTCAATATTATGTCTTTACGAAGGAAAAACTGTTGTGTGCAAACGAAATATGGTGAAATATGAATGTCGGGGCGATAGTAACCATACTTTTTCAATGTTAAATAAAAGTGCAATATCCAGCGTTTTCGAGCATAACAGATGAATGCTGTAACTAAGAACATAATTTTCACTGAGGATCTCATCCTAAGCTCTAACTCACGATTTTTGCCTTTTTTTTCATCCAACAATTCAGGACACTACAGCAGATATATTTTGATGGTTTTGGATGACTAAATTGAAGTCATCAGTGAAAATTACACTCTTATATTCAGCACTGACATACTGAATAAACTAAAAAACGCAAAATTTATTGAACATCGAAAAAGCATGATTATCTTCGCCCAAATGACGTAGCTGAATAACCTTATTTTACAATCGTTGTCTTTTTTTAACCCGTTAACAGTATATTGTAAGTTCACAATAAACTTTGAAAACGTTTAGCCCAACATTAATTCACGTTATATCATATTCTAATTTACTGGGTATATATATTTGCCCCCAAATGCCCTGGTATGACCGAGAGTGGGGAGTTCGCTCTTCCTCTCGAAATGCTCTCACATGGCCACGCGTATACAACCTCTGTCAGGGAAGTCCTACTCACTGCCTTCTCGCACCACGGGTGTTGTTTATGAAAATGAGAGGACATAAAGCGAATGTCCGGTGCTTTAACCGGATTCCAAACCAAATCGATGGTGCACATGGGCTCCAGTATCCTGAGGGAACAAATGTCGTATGAACCAATCATTGGTCACCATCTACCATGGGACTGCATCTCCTCACGATGCTCTACTGCCTTGTGGGTTAGACCTTTAGGTCAAAGGCTCGGGGTGTGGCCTCTTAAGAAAACCACCTGCTTCAGTCTGGGTACCCGGGTAATATCGCAGCCCTCACACATATCGAATGTGATTTGTGTGGCGCATGTGTATTTGGTGCCTCCGTGTACCAATATCTGTGTATACATATTTACAATACAAAAGGACACTAAAATAAATATGCATCAAACAATAAGAAAATGAGATTGTTAAGACATAGAAGATATAATGTGAGTATGGCAAAAAAAACAATATATGAATGAATGTGATTAAAAAATAATAGGAAAAAGAGTTCATCTAAATAGAATATAACCAAAACAGAATTTTCTCAGTAAAGTTAGTTCTCCTCACTTTTATAAAGTAACACAAAATTACATTACAATAACCAGTCGCTTCTTTTATTGTAAACCATATCTGATAACGTCTCAAACGATCGAGTTACATTTTCTGTAATATCTTAATCAACGAAGAAATTGTACAAGATCGACAGATTTCAATCCTATACAACTTTCTTTCATCATTATATAATAATTAACTAATTAAAAATTAAATTCTTTATGAAACTTTCTTTAATGAAATGTTCTATTCATCGTTTTTTTTAATAAAAAATAATTGGTGTTACAACTTCTTTTGCTTATTTTAGTTTTAACAGCTAAGTAGTTATGTATCATTAATTTTGCACACTAAAAGGTTGTGCTCTAAACCATTGTTTTTATAAACTTTTACTTGATTGATCGTTTATTTTATCATTCTATGGGTTATTTTTTTCCAAAAATACTTTAATAATTTTGTAACTAGTTATTATTTATTTATTTATTTATTTATTTATTTATTTATTTATTTATTTATTTGAACACATAAATATTGGTACAAAATGGCACCAAATATATATGCGCCATACCATATTTGTGTGTGTGGGCTGTGATAATCCCCGGGTGCCCAGACTGAAGCAGGTGGTTTTCTTAAGAGGCCACACCCCGAGCCTTTGACCTAAAGGTCTAACCCACAAGGCAGTAGAGCATCGTGAGGAGATGCAGTCCCATGGTAGATGGTGACCAATGATTGGTTCATACGACATTTGTTCCCTCAGGATACTGGAGCCCATGTGCACCATCGATTTGGTTTGGAATCCGGTTAAAGCACCGGACATTCGCTTTATGTCCTCTCATTTTCGTAAACAACACCCGTGGTGCGAGAAGGCAGTGAGTAGGACTTCCCTGACAGAGGTTGTATACGCGTGGCCATGTGAGAGCATTTCAAGAGGGAGAGCGAACTCCCCACTCTCGGTCATACCAGGGCATTTGGGGGCAGTATTTAGTTACCATTCTTCTTAATTCTAGTTTAATTACTCCTTTCAATAATAAACTATAGTATCTGTACGTAATATTCATTTTATTATATAATACAATTTATTGTTATTAATTTATATAACTATAAATAGATGATTATATTTAAAACAAAATAATGAACAGTAAAGATAAAATGTGTTGTAAGGATTGAATTAATAATAACTATGAAATGATATAAGTATAATAATAATATAGTATTTTGTTTTTGTTCTTTTTATTGATTATCCAAATTATTATGCTTGTTCCTGTTAATTATAATTAATGAATTGAATACAGTTCCGGTTAACAATGATTATGTTCTCATTCATCCATATTTTTCATAAGCTTTAAGTTAGTGATAAATAATGTAGATAGGAGAAAGTAACCGATATTTTTCTTTGTACTGTGTTTTTTTTATCAATGGTAATCGTAAAATCTATCTCTATGTTAATGATGTGTGAAGTTTGAATATCTTTGACTTGAACATTCAATTATTGAACTGAAACATTATTATCTTCATAAATGTTCTTTTTTCTTTGAAGTGTTGTAGAATATTTATTACTCCTTTAAAATGAGTTGTAATATGCGTTTATATGTCGTGTTAACATTTTAAGTCAATTATCTCGTTAAAAGTTTTTTGTTTAGTTCATATCATGTGTCAAGTTGAATATTTAGTCAATAATACATTCGAATCACCACTATTATGCACTACAACTCCCGGGTGGGTAATGTTAGGATTTGGCTGAGTGATTTGAAGTTGAGGTAATAGATCAACCGATGAGCTTATGAGTGAATCTTAGTCTAAAATAAGTAACACACTGTAGTTGTTGTTATCCTTGACCTTGATTTAATGATTGGTCAATTAACTCAAAATTGATCGCTATTTAATAAAAATAGTAATAATATCTATCCATTCAAACACTACGCTCAACTATCAATGACCCTATCGATTTATATAGAAATAATGAGGAGAAAGCTCAAGCGTCAATAAAAGCTAAAACAGTATTTTATTCCATCAAGCTATCACTAATGTTGCGGTGTAACTTTCTGGTTTATTTTTACTAAAATGTTATTGTTTTTCTTCAAATCGGAACAGATATGATTCCACTTTTTCCCCTTTCCACTTGTTCATTAGCTTTCACTGTAAACCTTTAGTTTTCCTTACCTCATGTTACTAAAAAAGGTATATAACAGTGTAATGAAATGTTCATGATGATAATAACATCATGTCAATTATCAGAAACATTTATATTATAACTATTGTTGTCCATATTTTTCAGTCTTCTTTTTTTGTTAAAATAGGGTATAGGGAGGCGTAAACTTCCTCAGCCTTACTTGCCTGCTAATCGACGTCAACGGGAGGATGGTCCACGATATCAAATGTCTCGATGGACACCTTATATCAAAGATCTTATGGAGGTAAGTAATCTGACTAATAATTCAAATACTGTTTTGCTTCATTAACGATTAATGTGATATGCTAAAACGATTCGTTGTTGAGCAAGGGCTGTACACACACTTCTTATAATGCTGATATGGGAAAAAGATAAGTGGAATCATGAAAATGTTAATTAAGGAAAAGGAATTTTGATGAGTATCATAGGTGAATGTTTTATGTTATTCAATGTACTTAGGATAGTGGTATAATACATAAATTTTGTCGATTTAATATTTTCGATGTGGCAAAAATAGTTCAAGAGGATGTTCAATAGTGATTAAATTATCTGAATGAATAATAAAATTATTACCCTTAGCGTTAACACAATGTACAATACCATTGAGAAACAATTACAAAAATACCTATGTGCTGTACAACATTGATCAACTATGTTATTGTTCGTCTAACATCTGACTGTTTGATTCAAAGAAAACTGTTTTACAATTTTATTGTTGCTTTAATTATAAATTGTTTGTTCTATTTTACAATGAGAATGAGAATCGTTTGAGACGAGTGTGTCGAGAATAAAAGTCAGTTATATATTACTTGTTTAAATCTGATTGGAGGTTAGTCAGCTTTTATTATCTCAGCTGATTAACTAAGTATCAATGCAATAACTCAAAGACTATTCGTTAACTCGGAAACCGATTGATTTTTTTCGTTGCATCCATAGATGAAAATTTTTGGAGATATGTAGTCAAGAGAAAGAGAAGTTTTGGAGACTAAGATGTATTTTCAAATTGTTTGTTACTTTTATCCTATTCTTTTTCAGTTAAAAATTATGAACATGGTAACAGTGTAGATTATTTCATGTATGTTATATTTCATCTTTTACCTCTTATTTTGTTGTAATCTCTCAGTGACATAATATAAGTGTACTAATCACTTCGACGTTTTTTAACTTAAGGATGCTGCTGAAGATAAATTGGATCCGAAATTATTTCAGTACTTTGGTGGTGGCCCTGTTCGTGGTCCTGGAACGCGTACAGGAAATGCACCAATGTCTGCAAGATATGGAATGTGGCATCGGGATAAAAGTCAACAACCACGTTCTGGACCTAGACTAATATTCTTTGTAATCGGTGGAATATCCTATTCAGAAATCCGTTGTGCATATGAATTAATGAATACTGCGCTAGGTAAACAATGGGATATTATCGTTGGTGGTACCCATATACTTGTGCCGGAAGCATTCTTAAAGGATTTGGAGAAACTGTCTTATCCACCAGGGGCAGCGCCTCCATCGGTTAGCAGTGGGACATCAGTTATTGTAGGTGCTGGTGGGGAACCAGTGTGAAATCAGTATACCCCATGAATGATTTATATTTCAATATGTAATTCACAAGAGATTTCCTTATGATTTCCACTGAATAACAACTTTATTTACTTATATTGATTTATCTTTCGTCGCACACTTCTTCGTTAGTCAATATCATTTCATTGATGCTGATGATTATAATTGTTACTATTAATATTACTATTCTTGCCAACAAGAACTTCATTTGTGTTTAGCACTTCACCTAAACACTCACAACATTCCTCATACGCTCAACTCTTGAGCGTATTTTCTTGTTCTCTATCGACGTTTTTCCTCATTTCCTTCCTCATACACACATACGCAATCCCCTACAGATCATTGATTTAATGTCAGCAGAAAACATGACCAGCTTTCTTTATCTACGTTTATTTAATTATTTATTGGTTTGTTCATGTTGTTTTTGATATTTGCTTATTTATTACTTCCTCCAATTTTCTATACCATATATATACATAGTTATTAAATTAGTATTGTTCATAGAATTTTTGTGTCAATACTACGTGCATTTGTCAATGATTATGCCTTCTCCCTTTCCGTCTTCAGTCACACTGTTTCTGAGGCTTACGTGACATTCGATAATTAGTGTGGATCACACTCGATGCAACTCCGCCTGTAGCTCTTATAGGGTTGCTGCCGGTCCCAAGCCCGGGTAAAGGAGGAGGGTTGGGCATGGGATTAGCGTCCCCATCCCGTAGAAAACTAACTCGCTGAAAAAACGCTTACCAGAAAAAATAATTCAAACCATTTTAACTCTGCCCTGGGAGTTAGAAGGTCTTCGTTTAGAAGAATTATGACGCTTCATGGTGAAAGCCGAGTTCCTTCGGAAGCCACGAGGCCGATGCCCCTTCTAACAACCAGAGCAAAAATTTTTATAGGTACATGGAACGTTCGAACAATGTGGGAAACCGGGAAGACCAGTCAAATATCAATGGAAATGAGGAGATACAACTTAGCAGTACTGGGAATCAGCGAAACCCACTGGACCCAAGCTGGACAGAAAAGGCTAGCTACGGGAGAGATGCTGCTATACTCTAGTCACGAAGAGCAAAATGCTCCACACACTCAGGGAGTCGCTCTTATGCTGTCCAAAGTAGCACGAAATGCACTTGTAGGATGGGAATCTCACGGATCCAGAATCATCAAAGCATCATTCAAAACAAAGAAGGAGGGGATCTTAATGAATATTATCCAATGTTATGCACCCACCAATGATAGCAACAACGACATTAAAGATCAGTTCTGCGAGCGGCTACAGTCTTCCTTCGAGATACTGACAAACTCAATGAATTCAAGATAGCTCTCAACAAAAGGTTCCAAGCCTTACAAGATCTACTGAAAGAAGAAGAAACTACTATGGAGGACAACTGGAAAGGCATCAAGGAAGCATTAACTTCAACGTGTCAAGAGGTTCTCGGTCTAAAGAAATACCATCATAAGGAATGGATCTCTATAGAAACACTGGACAAGATCAAAGAAAGGAAGAACAAGAAGGCAGTAATAAACAACAGCCGAACACGAGCAGAGAAAGTCCAAGCACAAGCTGAATACATAGAAGCAAACAAACAAGTGAAGAGGAGCATTAGAGCCGACAGGAAGAAATACGTAGAAGAATTAGCAACGACGGCAGAAAAAGCTGCTAGAGAAGGAAATATGAAACAGCTCTACGATACAACGAAGAAACTAGCAGGGAAATACAGTAAACCAGAGAGACCGGTCGAAGACAAAGAAGGCAAGCCAATCACTGAAATTCAACAACAGCGGAACAGATGGGTAGAATACTTCGAGGAACTCCTGAATAGGCCGGCTCCAATGAATCCACCGAACATCGAAGCAGCACACACAGATCTTCCTATAGATGTCAACCCACCAACGACGGAAGAAATTAGAATGGCCGTCAGACAAATCAAGAACGGGAAAGCAGCAGGACCCGACAACATACCAGCTGAAGCACTGAAATCAGACGTCGAAGTAACCACAAGCATGCTTTACCCTCTATTCAAAAAGATTTGGGAGGAGGAACAAGTGCCAATGGACTGGAAAGAAGGACACCTCATCAAGATTCCAAAGAAAGGAGATCTGAGCAAATGTGAAAACTACAGAGGCATCACACTACTGTCAATACCAGGGAAAGTCTTCAACAGAGTGTTGCTGAACCGGATGAAGGATGCAGTAGATGCCCAACTTCGAGATCAACAAGCTGGATTCCGAAAGGATCGGTCGTGCACAGACCAAATTGCAACACTACGGATCATCGTCGAACAATCAGTTGAGTGGAACTCGTCACTATACATCAACTTCATTGATTATGAAAAGGCATTCGACAGTGTAGATAGGAGGACATTATGGAAACTTCTTCGACACTACGGAGTTCCTGAGAAGATTGTCAATATTATCCGGAACTCATACGACGGACTACAGTGCAAAGTAGTGCATGGAGGACAGCTGACAGATGCATTCCAAGTAAGGACCGGAGTCAGACAAGGCTGTTTACTCTCCCCCTTCCTCTTTCTTCTGGTGGTCGACTGGATTATGAAGACCTCAACATCTGAAGGAAAACACGGAATACAATGGACAGTTCAGAACCAATTAGACGATTTGGACTTCGCAGATGACCTAGCCCTCCTATCACGTACATACGAACAGATGCAGATGAAGACAGCCAGTGTAGCAGCAGTCTCTGCATCACTAGTCCTCAACATGCACAAGGGGAAAACCAAGATCCTCAAATGCAACACGGACAACAGCAATCCAATCACTCTTGATGGCGAAACTCTGGAAGATGTAGAGTCCTTCACATACCTGGGAAGCATCATCGATGAACAAGGAGGATCCGATGCAGACGTAAAGGCGAGGATCGGCAAAGCAAGGGTCGCATTCCTACAATTGAAGAACATATGGAACTCAAAAGAACTTTCAACCAATATCAAAGTGAGAATCTTCAATACGAACGTCAAGGCAGTTCTACTGTATGGAGCTGAAACTTGGAGAACTACAACAACCACAATCAAGAAAGTACATGTATTTATAAATAGCTGTCTACGCAAGATACTCAACATCCATTGGCCGGATACCATCAGCAATAGCCTTCTGTGGGAGAGAACAAACCAACTTCCAGCTGAAGAGGAAATTATGAAAAGACGATGGAAATGGATAGGACATATATTACGCAAATCGTCAAACTGCATCATGAGGCAAGCCCTAACTTGGAATCCTGAAGGGAAGCGAAAAAGAGGAAGGCCAAAGAACACATTGCGTCGGATAATAGAAGCAGATATGAAAACGATGAATTACAACTGGACAGAGCTAGAAAGGATTGCCCAGGACAGGGTTGGATGGAGAATGCTGGTGAGCGACCTATGCTCCTTCACGAGGAGTAACAGGCGTAAGTAAGTGAGTACACTCGATGCGTTATATATATGTATATCCAATAATGAAAAATGTTAATTTTATGTTTCTCTTGGTAATCACATGTAACACATTACCAACCACCTCAGTCGATGGATATTTAACCTAATCAACAAACTTTCTATCTTCTCTGCTGTACCTCAGCATTGCTTATTGGGTGACCTCAACATACACCAGCAAAGCTTAGAAGGCATCTGTAGTCGAATATTAGTCGCTTACTAATGTTTTCTATCCCTGAAAGCTGTTTTTCATAGTCATAAAATAGAGCAAAAACAACTGCGCAGTGTACTCCTGGCTTCGCTTGCGGATAAACCTCTCACCTTAGCCAAAAAGACGTAATTTGGCAAAACTCAAGAGAACTTTCTAATTTCAGCACCGAGATTCTTTCAAATATCAGCTCACCAGTGGTAATGAAGCTCCAATCATTAACGAATTGATCAACTTACTCAACTACTTCACTCAAAAATAATCAATGTAGGCAATGGTGTGGATCAGCGTGAAGCAGCATTTTAGATTAAGAGGAAGAGAAACACTCCAGACATGCTGGGATTGTTACTCAAGGCTACCAAAGGACTCCATGGTCAGTGTCTTCATTGAATATAACTATGTCATCTGCGTACTTTAAGTACATAAGTGGACCATTTGGTAAGTGATCAATCCCTGAAAGTTAGATGAAGAAAGTGTGATTTCTAGGGAGAAATGTATGAGATGAAAAAGAAGATAGTGAACAATTCTGACGAAGGCTACTTGGAGTTGAGAATTCTGGTGACAAATCGTGCTTGAGTGGGAGGTTTCGATTTTTTGTGTACTTAGTAGGTAATTTATACTCCCAAACTCCAACATAATCTCTCGGATACCGGAGTTGAGTCCCACCTTAAGGTCAAGAAATACAGCTACATTCGGTCGTTGGTATGCTTATATCCTAAAATCTTTTATCCCATAACTATACTACCTACATAAATCTATACTTAACTCTACCCTCATCAACTAAACTCAAAACCCCATAACAAACTTTAACCCATCATCACTTCCTCACCACAAAATAATAACCACCATCAACACCCAACACACCCTATCACCCACCCAAACACACTATACCCCCCCCCACCCCCACCACACAACACACCCACCCTCAACCCCCATCACTCACTCACTACAATACCCCCCCCCCCTCAAACCCCCACCCCTAACCATCCCTCCATACCCCAATCACCCCATCCCTACCAATCAACTCCACCCACCAAATTCCAAATACCCCCTACTCCATCCAAACACCACCATCCCACACCCTACCCCAACCCAAACTAACCAACTCCATAACAACTACCTCCCCATAAAAACCCCCCCCCCCCACCACCCCCAAAATCCACACACCCATACAAAACTAAATCAATTTACCCAAACAACACCACCACACTCTCCCCATACACCCTACCAATTACCTAACCCTCTCCCCCCCAAAAACAAACTATCTCAATCCACCCCACTATACACACCCAACCCCTCAATCGTGTGAATACTCCCACTTCGCACTCCCTCCACGCACCCCCCCCCAAACCACCATCCAACCCACAAAAACACCCACTACCCCCCCCAAAAAAACAAACCAATACAATACACCACACAAAACCCTCTCACACATCCACTACAATCTCTCATCTCCAACAAACCAACCTCACGAACCCAACACCACCATCATTCAAAAATACTGACCTCAAAATAATCCCAAACTACTACCAACAGCATATAAATCCAACACCACGAACGGGATCTTACTTTATATTGGATATAATAATAACATAAAAAAAATTTCGTCAATGTGTCCCTCACCTACCCCCAAACTACGCTGCCCCACACACCGTTTGAACTTATAATGAAAACAAACCACCATTAATCAGTAGTACTATATCTAATTCTAATATAATATGGCTTATTATTTTAAAGAGATTCTTGAGTATTTTTATGTTACTAATTGACGACGAAATGTAAGATAATAAGACTACCTGATCAATACAGTCAGTATCCAGTGACATTTGTGAGTTTTTGTATTACTTCTAAGTTTTTCAATTATACAGAATATAGCTTACCATTGTATAGTCTACCTCGAAGT